AGGAAGAGTGGGGTATAGCCTAATTGGTTTTAGCTAATTAAAAGGTCTAAAGCATTTTTTTTCTTTGACCTAAGAAAGCCCTACTTATATAAAGCCTTAAATAATAAAAGGAGAAATTGTGTAATAAAGAAATAGAAGGTGGTGGTGCCGAAACCAAGAGAAAGACGACTAGTTAGGAAAAATAGAGAAAAAAAAGAAGAGAGAGTTGGTTGAACGAAAGTCAATCCATGATTTAATTGAGCTAAAATTTTATCAGTAGGTTTATGATTTAGAGTTTTACATTTTGAACTGTGAAAATCAAGTTTGAAACTCTCTAGGAATAAATTTAAGGTGTATTTATTGAGTCACCTATTTAGTGAGATTTTTTCATTTGTCTATTTAGTTGTTGATTAGCTCTAGCTTTAGCTAAAAAAACTTTGTATATTTATTATTTGATAATGAAGATTTTTTTAGTAGTCTATGAATTTTTTCCTCTATGCTGAAAGGTTTTTTTTATGTAAATCTTAGTATGCTTTATTTTTTTACGTTGTTGATTATTGATTGTTGTATATTACTGTAGGTTTATTGCAATATATTATTTTTACATTGTTATATTTATTACTTTAGGCCCAACAAGTGATATCAGAGTAAGAGTTATTTTGAGACATCGATATAAAAACAGTATAAGATAAAAGTAAATTTATTTAAGATCATGAAAGATGATACATGTTTCATAATAAAATTAATAGTATCAAATTATTAAATTTGAAAGCCTATGATGAAAGATAATTTATATTATAAAAATTTGTAAAAGTCAATATTGCGTGATTCGGCTAAACCAGCATATATAAAAGATGAAAGCTAAAAAAAGTTAGGTAAAAAACTACTAGCCACAATAAAAATAGGTTGATATCAGTGTGTTTCATCATGTAACGCAGGAGATATATGCCTATACTATTTAAGAAAAATTAGCAGTATTGTATGAGAGAAAAATAGGTATGAATAAAGTTATACTTATTAAAAAGCTTGTAACTTTACAGTATAAGGATGGATGATCAATTACAGAGCACTTAAGTGATTTTTAAAATATATTTAATTTGATGACTACTATGAAACTTAAAATGGATGATGAAATGAAAGCTTTATTTCTTTTGGGTTCATTATCAGATAGCTAAAATACTTTCATTGTGATTATTCTTAATTCAACTCTTGATTATAAGATGATATTGAAGATGATAAAAGATAATATGCTTAATAAAGAAGCAAGGAGAAAAGATTTAGACCATGAGAATCAAGCTCTGATCATAAAGAATAAAGGTAAAAATATTGACAGAGTTTAGAACTCAAAAGACTATAGTAAGTTTAAACATATATCCAAGTTCAGAGATAAAATAAAGTGTTTCTATTATGGTAAAATAGGTCATATAAAGTGATACTGTTAAATCTTGAAGTAAGAGTGAAAAGATGAGAAAGACAATAGTTTAAATGATAACAATGTTGCGGTAGTGAATTCAAATAGTGATTCGGTTACTTTGATTTATAAACATAGTGATTGTAATCATGTTAGTGATCATGACATTGAGTGGATACTTGATACATGAGCGACATATCATTGTGTTCCTAAGAGAAAATTATTTACAACTTACAAAGTAAGAGACTTTGATTGTACCAAGATTAAAAATAAAAGTGTGATGCAAATTGTTGAGATTGGTGATATTATTGTACAAACTAGTACAAACTGCATATTAACTTTGAAGGATGTCAGATATATTTCAAATATGAGAATAAACTTACTTGCTATTAATATCCTTGATAGGGAAGGATATGAGAGTCAGCAAAAGAATAGATACGAAAAGCTTCTTAAAAAAATCTATGAACGATAATGTATAAGACATGGATGCAATTGAACGATAATCAGATAAATGCCATTGAGAATGATGCTTTAATAAACTTATGGCATAAGAAACTAGCACACATAAACGAGAAGGGGTTACAGGTTTTGGTAAGGCAATCTCTCAGTACTTTGGCCAAATGTATGTCTCTCGATTCATGTAATCATTATTTTTTTGGCAAGCATCATAAAGTTTCTTTTCGTAAGAGTTTTTAGAGAAAAGAAAACATATTAGAATTGATTTATTCTGATGTATATGGTCCAATTGAGGTTAAGTCATAGGATGGTAGCAGGTATTTTGTTACTTTTATTAATGATGCTTTATGTAAAACTTAGGTATATATGTTGAAAAATAAAAACCAAGTATTGTAGTATTTTTAAAAATTTTATACCATGATAAAATGGATAATAGGGCTACTCTTGAAGTATATTCAGATTAATAATGATAGGGAATATACATCCAAAGACTTTGAAAAGTACTGTTCAAAGCATGAGATTAAGCATGAGATGATAAAACTTAAAACACAGTAGCATAATGATATAACTGAAATGATGAATCACATAATTATGAAAAAAATCAGATGTATGTTGAGGATGGCAAAATTACCAAAGGCATTCGGGAGTGAAGTAGTCAACATAACTTATTATTTGCTTAATAGATCACCATCAATTTCTTTAAGCTTTGACATTCTAGAAAGAGTGTGGATAAAAAAAGATGGTTCATACTCTCACTTAAAAATTTTTGAGTGTAAAATATTCATGCATGTGTTAAAAGAGCAAAAGTCAAAGCTTAACAATAAAGTCACATAGTCTGTATTTGTAGAATATGATGATAAGGAATTTAGCAACAGGGTATGAAATCTAGTGAAGAGAAAGATAGTCAGAAGCATAGATGTGATTTTTCATGAAAAAAAGCATAGCAGACCTTGAAAAAAATAAAAAAAAATTATATGGGTTACTGTTGAGTGTAATATTTCAACATCGATAGAGGTTACACAGGCAAAAATCACAAATGGTGGAAATGGGTAAGAAACATAAATTGAAGATATGAATGAGCCAGTTATAATTAGTGATGAGCTAGATGTAATTAGTTTTGAGTAGATGGAGCAATCTTCTCTACTTGAGAATGTTGAGCAAGGTACGTAATTTTCTTCACCAAAAAATGTTGAGTAGAGAGAGCTACCTTCAACATCAGGTGGTGTAAAGTCTCAGCTTAAGGGATCTACTAGATAATACAAGTCATCTACCAGGTATTTAAGTTTAGATTTTATTTCAGTTACCTGTCAGAGAGAGCCAAAAAGATTTCAAGATGTGTAAATTACTCCAGATAAATAGCACTAGTTAAAAGCAATGAAAGAAGAGATGGAGTCATTATACAAAAATGATACATATTATCTTATTAAACTTTCAAAAGAGAGGAAACTGTTGAAGAATAAATGGATGTTTAAGTTGAAAAAGGATGGTGACAAACTAGTGAAGTACAAAGCTCAATTGATGGTGAAAGATTTTTATCAGAAACCAAGCATTGATTTTGATGATATATTTTCTCCAATTGTGAAGATAAGTTCCATTCGAGTGGTATTGAAATTAACATCTAGGTTGAATTTTGAGCTTGAATAACTTAATATCAAGATTGCATTCTTATATGGTGACTTGTAAAAGGACATTTATATGGATCAAAATGAAAGTTTTGAAATGAAAAGGGAAAGAGCACTTAGTTTGCAAATTGAAGAAAAGCTTGTATGACTTGAAACAAACTCCACAATAGTGGTACAAAAAGTTTGATTCTTTTATGGTAAGCCACAATTATAAAAGAACAGTAACAGATCTTTGTGTGTATATCAAAATTTTTTTATGGTAGCTTCATTATTCTTTTATTTTATGTTGATTATATGTTGATTGTGGGATAAGATGCTGGTATGGTTCATAGGTTGAAAGAACAATTATCTAAGTCCTTTAACATGAAAAATTTAGATCCAGCAAAACAGATTCTCAATATGAATATTATCCGAGATAAGAGAGCTAGAAAGCTGTGATTATCACAGAAAAAGTATGTTGAACGGGTGCTTAGTAGATTTAATATGTAACATGCTAAATCAGTTAGTAATCCACTTATCAATCATTTTCATCTAAATAAGAAATCTTGTACAGTGACTAAGAAAGAACAACTAACTATGTATAGTATTTTTTATTCTTTTGCAGTCAGTTTTTTAATATATTTTATAGTTTATACATGCCTGACGTTGCTTTGGTGTAGTGAGTAAATTTCTTTCTAATTCAAGAAAGGTTCATTGGGAAGCAGTGAAATAGATTTTTAGATATTTAAGGAGCACCTTAAAAATGTGCTTGAGTTATGGAGTTTCACAACCAATTCTGGAAGGGTTTACTGATGCTAATATGACAAGTGATCTTAATGGTAAAAAATCTATTTCAAGGTAGTTATTCACTTTTGTAGGAAAAGTTATTTCTTGACAGTCTAAGTTACAAAAATGTGTTGCTTTATCAATTACAGAGGTTAAGTATATTGTAGCAATCGAAGTAAGTAAAGAAATGTTTTGGATAAAATATTTTCTTCTTGAATTGAGGTTAAATAAAAAAAAATATGTGGTATTTTGTAATAATCAGAATATTTTAGATTTAAGTAAAAATATCATGTATCATGTTAAAATAAAACACATTAATATTAAACATCATTGATTACGTTTGATAGTTGAAGAACACCATATGCTGTATTGGGTTTTTTTTTGTTTTTTTTGTGGCAAGGTTGTGATGTCGTGAAACACATGGAAAACGGACCTTCTGGATCTTGTCCTCCACGTCTATAAAAGTCCTCTTTTTTGTCTTAAGATTCTGTGGTGCGAAAGGTTCATGAGAAATTTGATGATCTGCATGTGGTACTGCATGAGAGACCTAGCACTAGCATGACAGGTACCGATGAAATTGTCGGTTTACCAAAAAACCTTTTGGTGCGTGGTTTCAATTGGATGGTGTATGATTTCTGGCTCAAAAGCAGTGTTTAAATCCCTCTGTTTCTCAGATACAAAATATCATATTCAAATATCTCTTTTTTAGAATTAAATAAGTACATATAACTTGTAATAAGAGGTTTTCTCTTGTCCAAAAACCATGAAGCATTGAATTTTTTGTTCCTGCACTCTTTATTGATTGACTGCTTAAACTGTCCATAACAAGTCTGTTTAAGCAAGCTTTATTCAATCACAAAACAACCCCAATGTCCAAGCTTTTTAAAGCTATGGCTGATACTATAGTAGTTTAAACAAGGCTAGACAGAGCCGACTGGTCTTCAGGGCTTGGTAGCGGCCAATGTGTTCCCAATGTCAATTACAAACCTGTATCTAACATCACCCTTTTCAAGTCTCTCCACCGCTTTGTTCACATAATCCACCGAAATAACTTCGATGTCTGCTTCTATGTTGTGTTTTGCTGCAAAATCAATCATCTCTTGTGTCTCCTTCATTCCTCCGATACCACTCCCAGCCATCGTCTTCCTTCCTGTTGTTTCTCAAGATACATCATGTTTTCTTGTCAGCTTAATTTAATTAGACTCAGAAATCCAACTCTATGATTAATGGTTTAAGTGTTTTATGCTTACCCACGATCAAAGAAAAGGCAGGTAACTCAAGTGGCTTGTTGGGTGCGCCCACCATGATAAGTTTTCCATGAGATTTTAGAAGCCCAAGCAGTGGCATAATTGGATGGACAGCAGAGACTGTGTCTATGATTCCATCAAAAGTACCCATGGCAGCCTGCTCGAATCCGAAATGACCCCAAAAGAATTCAATTTAAAAAATTCTTTTAGCAAAATTAGTTAAAGCAATTACCATCTGAATTCTAAATGAAGCATCCAAATTACTAAGTTTGCTTCAAATTTGGGTAGTTGTACTCAATTACCTGTAGTTCTTCTTGATCACGGCTAACCAAAAAAGAGTCAGCACCAAGATGTTCCAAGGCTTCGGCCTTCTTACTAGGGGAAGTGCTAATTACTGTTACTTTGCACCCCAAAGCCTTGGCAAATTTAACAGCAACATGACCAAGACCACCAAGGCCAACAATGCCAATGTGCTTTCCAGGTTCACCTAATCCAAAATATTTTAATGGACTGTAAACAGTGATTCCAGCACATAGCAATGGAGCTGCAGTGTCAAGGGGCATGCCATCAGGGATCCGAACAACGTAGCGTTCATTAGCAACCATTGAATCTGAATAACCTCCATGTGTCATTGTTCCATCATAGTAAGTTGCATTGTAGGTAAGTATCACTTTAGGACAATAATTTTCGAGGTCATTTTCACAGCTCTCACAGTTGTGGCAAGCACCAACCATGCATCCCACACCCACTTTATCTCCCACCTTAACCTTTTTCACTTTGCTGCCTAGTTCTGTCACTTCCCCTACAATTTCATGCCTGCAAATTACGGAGAATTTGTGTTATCTCTCATTAGTTGAAACTAATAAACATTTCTTTGAGTGGCCTAGTGGAGAGGCCCAGCAGGTAGCTTAAAGCGCAAAAGTATCCAGGATTCGGCATGGGCTGCTTCAGGAATAAGCTACGTACATTAAAAATTATACATACATGGAACTTGTCTTTATAAAGCTACTTTAAGGCCGCATATACAACACACCACATCTTTACTTTTCAGTGTTGAATAAAAAATATGGATTCCCAGTTTTGATGATTTTATGAGAGACAAATGGCTTCATATCTGTCTCATAACATGAGGGCTGAATGCAATACTAATGCCCACTTTTAATATATAAAGAAGGAAAAGATACGTAGAACTATTACACCAATCAGGCTTAGGGATGTTAATAAGAATTTCTTCTTTTAATGTATGAATAAATCTACCAAAAATTGTCTTTTTCACTGAATTAAAAGAACATTATTGCATTAATTTTAAGAGGAATGGAATTTATCCCGTTGAGGAAAAAGCAAGTAGGTGGGAGTTTTACTGTTTCCTTTCGTTAAGTTTACAGATCTCATTCCCGGTGGTCCAGAAGAAAATGTTCTCCTATTTTTTGTACAAACAAAGACACAAGTGAGATTTAAATCTCATTTGTGTTGGATGTCATCTTTAAGAGTGACTGTCTAAGATCTGAATTTAATTATCAGATTGAAGTTAAGCTTTAATACTGCTGAAATCCATTCCATAAGGGAAAAAAAAAAGATTAGAACTTAGATTTGGTTATTTGAATTTGCAAGGAATGAATGTAACCTCAATTTCAAGTAGTTATGATTGGCTAAGATATGATGAACGAGCAGCAGATTTCAAGGAGTTTTTCTTAGCCTTGAGTTTGAATATTGTTATTTACCAAGCAATTAAAAATTTTGTGAAGTAAAACAAAAAACCAAATAATTGCGAAAATAAAAGAACAATTCAAGATTAATATTAAGAGGAGAATCCAGAATGAGATGGTAAAAGATAGATGATCTCACCCTGGAACCATAGGGTAGATGGAGATTCCCCATTCATTCTTGATGCTGTGAAGGTCAGAATGGCATATCCCACAATACAATATCTTGAACCTCACATCTTCTTCTCCAGTTGCCCTGTTCTCACCAGTTAAATACAACACATAACATTATCACATTTAAGGAATTAACCCCATTTTCTTTTTCCCCTCGAAATAAAAGAAAATCACAAAGATGTAAAAATCATTTAAAAATAACCTTAAATTAATGGAACAAGAAGAAGAGAGAGAGAGACAGAGAGAGAGAGAGAGAGAGAGTTCATGGTACTAAGAAAAATTGAGAGAATTCACCTTCTCGAGAAGTTGAAAGGAGAGAGATGACCAGATGTGTCCCTGGCGGCCCAGCCATAGGTCTTAACAGGGTGCTCTTGTTCCGGTGACTTTGCCATTTTTGATCCAAAGTGCGTTAGGCAATGAGAGAATTAGAAAGAAGATCAATTTGGTTCTGCAAATGTTTGGCTAATACCATCGCATTGATATAGCAAGTGATGATGCCTTGCTTAATGCCCTTTGTTCAGCTTTCGTATGGTGACATGACATGATATGACATGATGTGACATAAAATGATAGCTCATTGCCACCTAAAAAAGATGAATAAAAACATTCCTAACAATTTTACTAGCCTGATTCCTATTGCTCTTTAATTTCTATTATTTATTAAAATCAATACTCAAGCATAATGATTGTTAAAAAAAATTCATTTTATTATACTTTTTGACAAAAAAAAAATACATCGCATCTGGGATTATTGATGTGAGGATTAGATTGTGATTTATAAACAAAATTTTATTTTTTATTAATGAATAATTTTTTAAAAAAGAAAACTGCGAGAGTAGATCCATCAAACACTCAACGCAGAAAATATCTTGTATCAGTTCAATAATTGTTGCTCGTATTATATTTGTAACTTTTTATAATTCCAATTTTTATTCTTCAGCCTTTGAACAATTAGGGCCCCTTGGGTTTTGCTAAACTTGTGAAATATTTCTGCATTGTGAACAAATTATTTATGCTAATTTATCGAAAAAGCTTCTCGAGCACAGTCAGGCAGTAAGAAGGCAGAATTAATTAAGGTCCTAGGTTCAAAATCAAAGGCTCTCTCAACACTGAATTGTGAACTAACAGCTTTTGTTAAAGTTGGTTTTGTGCTATGATTTTTTTATCCGGTTTGTTTGGCGTGTTTTAAGGTAATTTTCTTTCTAATCGACTATGGCTTGGACTGCTCCCTCCTGGGTGGGATCTTGTAATTGGGACAATGGATAGTTGCCAAAATCAAAGAATTCAAAGCAAGCTAGCCAATGAGCAATATCAAGTAAATGAAACAATAATTTTCTCTCATTTTACCTTCTTACTATGCATTTTGGCCCAAATTAGGCATGAATCAAAATTCACTAGCAACGCCTATGATCATTACAACCTGAAAGAATATAAACGAACTTCCTATTCGCACATTACTAGATAATTGATTATACTGCTGGTCCTTCTAATCGAATGTAGTCATACAGAACCGCGTTGAATGAGCCTTGGCTTCTTGGCTGAGTTAGAAAGATTGTGTTGTCCCCTTTCTGAAATCTATTACCAGGTACTTTTATACTATACAATCTGTACAATCCGTGGATTCCATGCCTTGCTACAACATTATCGTAACCTATTCTCGTCGTTGTAAAATGAGGTTGAATGACATCTGGATTGTTGAATCGAACCTATGAATGCATTGGTAAAGAATTTATCAGAAAAGCAGTTAAGTGAAAGAATACCCCTGATAAATGATCATGGCTGAGGATGTGAGATGACATTTATACCTGTACTTCAGCATAAGAAGCTGCTGCCAAGGCCAACTGGAGAGTGTACCTTCCTGTCTCGTTCACATCTTGGAGATTGTATTTAATCTGCCATGTGGTTCCCCAGTTCGAAGCGTTCCCTATATTCCTGTACTAGAAAATATTAGCACCAAACAGTCAAACACCCTGAAAAATATACGAGGATCGTCAGTTATTAGTGAGTTGAAATTGGCACCTGGGAACATGAGCAAAGAACCAATCCCGAGAATAATTGGTAACGCCCACAGTGTAGACAAGATCACTGTGACGATAAATATCTGAGTAGCGGTCCCACAATCCGTATTGTTTGAATCTGTTAATTGTTAAACATAATTTTAAGTTGTTGAAATCTATGTTGAAAATATTAGGCAGAAAGGTGTCACAATGTAGTTAAACAGAGCTTACGCGTCCTCGTCATCGTTGAGGATTGGGTTAACAAATGTTGGGTCTGGTTCCGGTACGAAGAACTCGGCTGCAGTCCTGTCAGGAATCCCGATTGCCCACAATGTAGGGCCATTTCTTGGAGGATCATATATAAGGGTACCCAAGTTGATCTTGTTTCCTGCATTCAGAAACATGTTCATGAATCTCCGATAAAAGCTAGTTCAAATGAACCAGAAAGGCAAGCCCAAGAATATGTTGACTTGTTAACCCAACGGCCCAAGAAGTGCATTAATTTGGAGATCCATTTTACCTGGTTCGATAGTGATGTTGAGATCTAACTTATAGGTTCCAATGAAACCATGGACCCATGCATACAAATTATATTCCCCTGGTCGGACCTTTTTTATACTGAAACGGCCAGCCTTGTCTGTTTGAGTCCAGAACTGATAGCCCTGGAAACAGATAAGAAGATAACAAAAACATAGTCTTAATTGCTCGTTACACTTAATCTTGATATATGTCTATACCTGAGATACAACTTTGTTAACAATATTAACCTTTCCTTCGGTTTGCCATGATCCTGCATATCCAGGCGCCGCCAACCCCACAAAGGCAGATTGCGCCTGCATTAATTCTTTATCCATATATCTGAACCGAGAAAATTAGAAGTAAGACACGCTTGCGCAATACTAGATTAATTGGATGAAGATGACAAAACAAAGGGAAAAAAAAAGACCATGAATGTAGACTAAACAAATACCGGTCTCGCACTAGTAATTGACCCTCCACTACTCCTCGTTCTTCAGCATGAGGAAAATCATCCGATTGAGTGAAATTGTACGGCCAGTTTTCAATTTCTTCATTCAACTGAATGTGCACAAGAAGTGTTAAAAGGGTTAGTTGGTCAAATATTATAACATAAGATGTTTAGAAAAAAATTGGGTCGAGCTAGCAGCCAACAAACCTGTCTTTTAGCGTCATCCCAGAGTGTCTTGCGGTAATCATCGTCGGGAGAAGCAGAATTAAGATAGATAAAAACAGGACCAAAAACTTTTTTCCAAGCCTCTCCTTCCTTGTAGAATACATCTATCTCGGTCCCGGTATAATGAGTACTAACAAACATCTAGATCATGGAAATAATCAAATTTTAGACAAACATTAAGCCAGTCAAGCTGAATGGAATCTTACATATATATATATATATATATATATATGTTTGTGTTGGCTTATAATTGGACTTACGGAGAGAGCAGTGGGGCCAACGTGAGAAGTGAGGTCCTGCTTGTGTGGGCCACCAGTTCGGAACTCATCGCTGGGGGTGATTATCCAGAAACCCACGGCATCATCATCGGATATCCACCCATGAAGCTTGTTATCTTTGTTCTCACATGAATATTGGTACTTATCGTCAACCTGCACCCCACAATTATGAAAAAGACAGATAAAGACAAAAAGAAGCCATGTTTTTTTCAACGCCTATAAGGAAGAGATTCCTAAAGAATCAAACTTTCCCACGTAAAATTAGAGTAGTACTTCAGTTTAGTGTCTTGAAGAAAAAGAAAATACCTGTCCTCTAAGTTCTGGATTGGTTGGATTGGTCAATAGAACAGCTTCTTTGTAGGCAAGAACCTGAGACCGACTATCATCTCGATCTTCCGCAGTAGGCATGATCCTTTGTATGGTGTCCGATGTCGCCATGAAACGAAACCTGATTCAAAATGTGACATGAAAACATTCACATTAATTGTTTCCTGACTGTTTAGGCAAAAATGGATCTTGTATGGTAGTCAAGGGTTCATCTTTGTTTTACTTGTCTTCCTTGAGCTTGAAAGCAATCCTTATTTGGAACATATAAGCCTCCGGAAAATCCTCCTGGCGCTCGAGAATGCTATACATGTAAAGCCCTGGCACGCCTCGTCGGACAATGAACCTGGAAGAATATTAAAAATAAGCACAAGGGCTATAAAAAGTTGTTCTTTCAAGCTGAACATTCAATCTTGTAGAATTTTGAGGTTTTTTTTATAACAATTGCAGACCTTTTGTCTACGTTTAAGGGAACTGAATAGCGATGGTCTGTTGCAAATTTCCATTTTTTGGTAAAGGAAACCTCTACTAAGTCATCAGTTTGTGTGATAACCTTGACATGTTTTGCCGCTAGCCTGCAGTAGCATGCAAAAAAAACTAGTGTCAATTAAAGAAATGACAGATATTCATGAAATCATTAATGTAGAAAGGCTGAAGAACTTACTTGTCATAGACATTATCATTCCAAACAACGTCCCAGTACCTAGAATATATTCCATCCCCCAAAAGAAAAATGTAAGTAACGGAGAACATGGTTTTTCCAAAACCTGGGAAAGTCAAAAAACAAAAACAAGGGGAAAAAAAAAGAAACTACAGAGGAGAGAACTTTTGTGACTAATTAACTAAAATCTGCATACCCTTTATTGTCGTTTTCGTTTCTCCTTTCAAGCACATTATGCATTCCCTTGTATTTAATTCCTGTCAAATGACCAGATGGATTCTCGATAGTGACTTGAACAAGTCCATTGTCAATAACCACCTGAAAAAGTTCATTTGATAATTAATGATACTATGATATGAAGAATAAACAAAAAGGTCCTTTTCTCGGTACCAAAAACAAAATGAATCGTACAAAGCAAGTTGAATTATTTTACTTTTCATCACCACTGGCATATACTAAACTTAGAACCTCATAAGAGGGGGAATATGATCTTACTCTGTGATCACTTATCAGCAACTGGACTTCAGGAGGGTTACTGTCCGCTTCCTTTAGGAGTTTTCTGCAATTCAAACATTCAAGAATGTGTTTATTTTTGTAAATGTCTTATAGTTAGTATAGATGTTTAATTTGTCCATGAAAAAAAAACATAAAGATCAAAAAATTGTGGACGGTTCTTAGTTCCAGGAATCAGATTCAATCTTTCGTAATCTCAAATTCTAAAAAAAAACCAAAAAATTGATACTACAAGCAATAATCAGGAACTTTGAAAAACATGTTGATGTTAACCAAAAAAAGGAGGTCCGAAAGAATTTTATTGCCACCCAAAAAGCATTGCCGCAGAGACGATAAGGAGTTGTTGGGATACCAACTCTTATTAGAACTTTGGGTCACGGGTCACTATTCAATCATACCGTGTTCTTTAGGTTAAGAGTGAAAAAGTCATGGTGTGCCAAACCCTTCAATAGGCCCAATGAACTCTTAGATAGAGTAAGCGAAAGCGATGAAAAAGAAAACAGAGAACTATATACAAAGAATAGAAAGTTACGAAGAACTAGATTACTTAGGGACAAAATTTGTTTAAATTTGATTTGTTGACAGAGTATTTAACTTTTAATTTCGTGATTCGAGTTCAATTCCTGGCGACTTCAATTGTAACAAAATTTTTTTTTTTAAATCAAGCCATAACTTGAATTATTTTAGTCTATTTGAACCTAGCTCCTAATATTTAACATGGTGCACCATAAAGCAACCGGGCATGCGGACTCATCAACTCTCTTAAAAGCAATGCAATATCTCCTCCCTCTCTCTCCCTCTCTCTCTCTCTCTCTCTCTCTCTCTCTGTGTTTAATCACTCCCATAAGGAGAAAAGGCGCAGGCAGGAGAAACATACAGAATAGAACAGGGCAAAAATATGGGAGAATGAAGGAAGAGCAAAGGGAGAACCTGGCTGGGATTAATTCAGCAGAGCATGCAGAGAGAACGATTAATAACTTGATGATCATTATTAGCCATAAAGCAAGCCCTCTCATGTGGCTCCTGTTTGCCACCTTCTCCATTTTTCTTGAAGGACTGAAGCTGTAAAGACCAGAACTTCTTCAGAATATAAGACGATTCATAATAATATTCACGCTTTTCAAAACATTAAATACACGAATCCCAGAAAACAGGTAATAAAATCAAAAAGAAGCTTTCAAACTCACCATAAAAGAAAAGAAATCCTATGAACTTAGACAATGTTAAATCGTTTGGAAGCAAAAGAGAAAAGGGAAGAAATCAATGATTCTCTGACTGGACAAAGACTCGTCTTTTTCGTTACAAAAATATAGCAAGCGATTCTTAACGGCATTCAAAAACGTGCACAAGCCATAATGTTGCAGTCAGATGGTCTTTATATAAGTGGTCTAATGACAAAAGAACGACTACTAATTTCTTTTGGACAAGTTATGGCTGTTTTTAATTGAATTATATTCTCTTTAATTAGAGCTGTTTGACCTACGTTAGAACTTACCAAGAAATTATATTCCAGTAAACTGTTCTACAAATGCCGTAAATAAAATTTATAATGGTATATGATAAATTTTTTTCTATGTTATATAAGATGGATTATTTGATAAGTTAATTGTAAAGGTCCTATATGATATGGAAAATTATTTGAGATAGATTTTGTTTTATTAAGTCAAATCATAAATTTTAATTGAAAATAATAAATAAATAAATAAAATTAAGTGAAAAATTGAACCAAATAAAAAAAAAATGGATGTGAAAAATGTAATTATCCTTTCATTGAAAGTAAAAACTCTAAATAAATCTTTATTATTATTTTTTAATTTAACAAGAAGGGATTTTAAGACTTTCCTCGATATATCCCATCCTTCGGTCATTCAAATAGACTTATCAACACATAAGATAAAAATTTCGAGTAAAAAAGTCCATTTCTACTTTCAATAACGTGTGTGAAAAGCCAAAGGTCCAAAGTATTCTTTTGAATTTTCAATAATTAAAAGGGAATTCTTGGGTCATTTAGAATAATTCATCCGGGTTAAGCACCACGTAGACATAGAGAAAAAAAATATATGTTCAATGTTGTTTGTTCCTGGCTTTGACAAATTGATACCAAAGTAGCATTTTGTTCACCAAAATTTAGGTATGGAAACAACATATCCCACATTGAAAGGAAGAAAAATAAAAGTAAAAAATGACTTGTAATTCCGTTCCTACCATTTAACTTTGAAAGATTCAAAAAGGGTTTGATCCAATTGAACGAAATGTAAAAGCAGAAAAAAAAAAAAAAGAAAAAAAGAAAAGAAAAGTCATATGAACAATAGGGAGAGAAAGAAAAAAGTGGTAAAGAGAAAATCTTACTATTAGGCTGACAACCATAAACTTGTTCTGTTATGAGACAAGAATTGTAGAAAGAAAATTTTTTGATGATTCAAGAGCAATTCATAAACGCCCTTTTTATACTGGCCAGATATAATATGTAAGGAATATAAAAGAATTTTAATTCAGGGAAAATTGTAGCTTAATATGCGAATTTCTTCAAAATGATACCAAAGATTAACTCTAATCAGACCAAGTTAACTGTGTAGCCAAACAAGAATTGCTGAAAGAAAGGTGTATGATTTAATTCAAGTGCACAAATTCCTATAAAGGAATTAAACTTGTACTGAATTTTAGTTAAGGGCCAATTGAGCTTAATAAAGAAGGTTATTCTAATCATACCACCAGGCGCCAGTTAGATTAACACTTATCTCAGACCAGATGCTTGATATTCGAATCATAATAAATGAAATAAACTTTAATTTGATGTATTTCATTTTATTTTTTTTTACAAAATGTGTCGACAACTTAAAAATTAAAAAAAAAAATTATATGTATAGGATTTAATTAAAAATTTATTAAATATTATTGAATATCATTTTTTAAAAATAATTATAATTAAATTAAATTTCATAAATTTCGTACTCTCTAATACAGTACCCCTAATCAAATTTTCTTCCCAGTTGCCTATGCTTAAGGGTTTAATTCTTAGCTTACTAGCTAATTAAAACAACTTCCTCTTTTTCTTCTTCCTTGCTTTTTTGGTCATTAAGCCTTTGAGTAGTCATCATTGCCGATGGAATTACTGGCCAATGGAGTTGTAAACCTTTGAAGACCGTAAAAAAAAAAAAAAAAAGACTTTCAAAAATTAATTAGGAAAAATTTCAGGTTTTGAATTTAGCTTCGCACTTGACCAATCACCAATGGAAACTCCATGACATCAACCGAACCCCATCGCGGTTGGATTACAAAGGTGAAAAGGAACCAAACCTTGCTATCCTCTTGTGACTTTTTACAACACCTTGTGCTGGGTGCCGCAGTCAAGACGCACAAAAATTTAAATACGGGGCAGCCGTAATCTCCAGGGTACGTTTTCCCATGACAAGTTTATTCTTTACCCTTTACCTGAACCACCATTATCAGATCTGTCCCTTTTTTACACTATTTTAACACTATTCTTTATTGAAACCGCAGTTCCTCTATTAGGACAGGACCACAAACCAACAAGAACAAGTGGAGTCAACATGTGAGATTCACAGCTTATCATCATTTTTACTCGGTTCATCTTTCTCGGCGATATATCATTATCATTAGTATTTTCAGAATCAACTCTGATATCAATTATCATTTATATCAACTTATGAGCTATTTAAATATTTATTATTTAGTTGATTTATAGTTATTAAAATTTTTTGAAAAAATTATTTTATTTGAAAATTTTTTAATAATTACTAAAATTATTTTGTATTACTTAAAAATTTTATTTCAAAATAATATAATTACAATGCGTCTTAATTTTGAAATGTGATATAAAGATATTTCTTTTTTCTTGAACAGTAAATTATTATGAAGTTTGATAATTTATATGATGAATCGACAAGAAAAAATGGGATTTATAGTATTAATTTAAGAAAAAAATTGGACCAGGATGCAAGCTCAGCGATGACATTGAACCAATGTCAAAGTTGGTTAACGAGACAGGTCATTATATCCATATGCCAATGTCAATTCTGTTTTGTTGAAGTGGTTGAAAATTTTTTTACAAATACGTCAAAAAGTCGTTAGTTTAGTGGTTGAAAGTTGAGTTTTATTTTATCAAAATTGGTTTCGTTTCAATGGTTGAACTAAATCTTGAAACTTGAAAGACGTCATATATTTTATTCTTTTATCCGGTAAAATACAAACGTCAAATTTGATTGCTGTAAGGTGGCCGGTTTATCCTTCTTTTTCATCTTCTATTCACTCATTCTAGATTGGTTTACATTTTTTTTTCTCTCTCTCCTTATGTATATATATATATATATATATATATTTTCACTTTCTCACTTCAAATTAAATTTAACAATTCGTGTAATTATATTATATAAAATATTAATAATTTATATATTTATGTTATATTTTATACGAAAATTACGTGTTATAATTTACATTAACATGAAAATATAAAATATATTTTTTTTTATTTTAGTAAATTTATTTATGGGTTTTATTAAAATTTTAAATCATATTATTTTTATATTTTTTTGTATCATTTTCATATTATGTTATCATTTTGTATTTGAAATTTGAGGTCTACTTCAAATTCAAACTATTGACAATTTGGACAGCTTGGTTAATCTTCTAACTAGTTTACGTCAATCTTCAAATTAATTGTTTAATCCCAACACGCACTCATGTCTCATGAGCTTACTTTTGGAAAAATGTACTTTCAATTATGGTCTAAGATGAAAATAATGAAGACTTAAATTATAGTCATATAAAACATGTTCATAATTTCAACGAATTGTGCATACTTATTCATTATTTACTGCATTGGTCTATAGTACTTAATTGGTTGGACTAGTGCTTTGAATTTCTTCTTCCTATATATTTGGTACATTTCATCTTAATTACTAATCTTGTAAATCCTTCAACAAAATTAATACCATAAATAATGTTTATGCACATTAAAATGGGTGAAGTAAATTGGTCGATTGTTAGGTTTAGTTCAATTGATTTATACATTCATCCGATTATGATCAAAACTTATATTTTTTAACAAGGTGACATGCATTTTTTTTTTTTTTTTGGCGATTGGCATGTTCTTAATTTTCTTCCCATATTTTTCACGTTAATTTGTTTTTGGCCTAATCTCTTTTCGTCATGGGAAACGTAAGCGCCGAGTCCTTGAAAACGGCTGCCAATGTTTTCTATTTCCTTTGCAAAAATTTTGGTTAAGATCCAATCGAAATAGCCACCTTATATTCAGACCTAAATCATCTTTGGACTCAGTCTTGCCTCACATAAATTTTGATTGAAATTGTAATTTTCCAATTACGGGTAGAAAATGAACTACATCGTACCGTTCAATTTCCAATTTAATTCATTCGATCTAGAAGACAACCTATTCCACGTTTAGGCATAAAAATGACCAACATGTGTTAACATGTGAAAAATATTTGTTTTATGATATCGTTGTTGTTAAAAATTGTCAATATGAGTAACTAGCTTAGAAAGAAATGTAATTAAATTATTATTATCATCCGAATTAAAGGGTCAAACTCTTCATTCTTATTAATTTTAACTTCTTTAAAATATTTTTTTATGCAAAGAGTGTCATAATCTTGAAATAGAAGAAGTGATATAAAATACTAAAATTTATATCTCTGATCTGTTAATATTATTTTTTAAAAATAATTATATAAATTAATTAATTTCAGATTCCAGTTCAACTTATAAATATTTTTGTAATCCATAATCTCTTCGTGTCAAGCTTTATAATTGTTAAGCTTCAAATAAACATATTTGAGTGAATGAAAATGAGTAAAAGAAAAAGGGTAGAAGACAAAAATACAAAGAAATTTGTAATTCTATCATGATAGCTCGGGAGAAAAGTCCGGTTAACTTGTATGAAAAGTATATAGAACCCTATTTACATAAACAGTGTAAATAATATATAAAATATAATAATGAGAGAGATTAGACATTATAACTGATTATAATTTATTCTATAAATTTGTTTTAGGTTAATAATTGATTACTCTTTGATTACTAAAGTTATCTCATAATTATTCTTAAAGAAATCTTGAAATTTTTGAAACTTTCTAATAATAATTAGCATAATAAAGTACTTGGTTGGCATTAATTAGATGCCAAATTAACAAACAATTTAATTACTTTCATTTTATCCATTTAGTTAGGTAAACTTTTTATCCCATACCCAAAAAAGCAAAAAAAAAAAAAAAGTTTGATTTAAAATCTCGCATTTTGCTCGAAAAATGTAAGGAAAAAACACCATTTTTTTTCATTTTTTAGAAATTAAAAATTGTAAGTTGGAACAAACAAGATGTGAAGAACAACTAAAACCCGTAACATCAACTACTTTGCAATGGAAAATTCCACGTTTTTCCGCTAACTGATTCTCTTGTCTTGTGTTGTTCGCATCTATAATGGAAACAGTCCACCAACACTGTTGAGTCTGTCACATGTGGTGCATGCACCTAACATTCTTTCATTTTATTCGTCAGGGTTCGGCTCTCCACTTCTATTTGTCTTGTCCATCGTTTACAACAAAACATTTATGATGACAAACTTAAATATAGATATGTATATATATTTGATAAAATGTTAATTTTTTTTCAGTATTTATGGTTTAATTTTTGATAATCTTAAATAAAAAAAATTATGATAATCTTCAATATAAATTTATATTTATCATGCATAGAATTTAATTATATATCTCAATCATTTGAAAAATTCAATTACAAAGATCAATAAAATAAACTTTTAAATTTTAATTAAATTTCACAAATGGATTAATATCATGTATAAACTTTGAACTATAATAAAATGTTCAAGTAGTATATGAATTTAAAAAATTTTTAATATGGTATTTGAATTATGAATTTGTTGATTAATGTGATAATCATTCATAATGTGACTGGCTTCAAATTATGATACGTGATAAGCAAACAATTCTTTAAATACTACATTAATTAATATATTAATAATTTAAATATTACATTAAAAATTTTAAAATTTAGATATTATATTAAATATTTTATTATAATTATCACATTAATTAATAGATTCATAATTCAAATATTACATTATAAATTTTTAAAATTTAGATATTATATTAAATATTTTACTATAATTTAAAAGTTATTTATGACATTAACCCTTCCCAAATATATAATATACATATATTTGATAGATAATAAGTCAAAACAAACCTAATAATCCCAATCAAATCATAAATGGATTATGATTTAATCACATTGAAGGATAAAGCTGTTTATTAATCACACTCATGACCTGGAGCATTAAACAATATATACTCCTTTAAGAAAAAAAAATCTAATTAAATATGTGACATTTAGAGATTTTTTATTGAACAATGATACATCCTTTAAGAAAAAAAACTTTAATTAAATATACTTACAAATACTTGTTTCCATAATATATGATTCAATAACAGTGAATTCAAGTTATATATCAACTGTATCATAAATTAAAAAAAAAAGTTACATATCAATTGTTACCACTATTGTAAGCAAACAGAGCAAAATATATCAAAAAGTTAATATTCAATAAACGTTTTAGAGATATATACTTCAGAAGAAAAAAAAAGGTTTTAGAGATAGGTTTGGGCTAAGATTTGAAAGAGTGGACCAACATAATTAATTGTTTTAATATTGGTTCTATACTATGTATTATCGTATATAATATAAAAAAAATTAATTTTGTTTCAAAAAGTAATCTAAAAAATTAATGTTATATATTATGTTATATTTTGCATATAATATTTGAATTATTTAGATTGATAAATAAATATAAATAAGCCTAAATTTGAAATTTCAAGCAGAGTCCGACCCAGCACTTACTTTTCTGCAGGCCTAATTGGGCCTCCGTAGAAACTGTTATGAATATGGGCTAATTTATTCTATCTTGGCCCACCTTAGCTGACCAATGGATACATCACACATGAAATTAAATCAACTGAAAAACTTTTTTGGGCCAAAAAAAGGAATCAACTCAAAATTGACTTTGCCCCAAAAAATTGAAAATTAAACTTGAACTCATAATTTATGTTAATTAGAATTCCACCCAAAAAACCCAAACGCTCCAATTATTGAACTCATAAATTAAGCTTCATTTAGTACATTGTTTTTTTTTTTTTTTTTACTTTCTTTTGGTTTTATTTCTATTTACTTGTTTTTGTTATTATATATAAAGAAAAGCATGAAAACAAAAAGTTAGCATTTACTACGCCATATTTAATGAAGTTTTTATAAAAATTTTATTATTATTATTATAATTAATTTATGCAATCAATATCCAGCAAATAGAATTAAATTCTTGTACCTATAAATTTTTTTTTATATTTTCACATTACAACATCTTTTATACCAAAAAATTTTCACCTTTCTTTCACTTATCTTGTCACTAACTGATATTTTGTTGGTTCAATTTTTTTTTTATAATTTTAACTTCTTTTTGTTTTAAATAAAAAGTTGATTTAAAGATGAAAAAAGTATTTCAAAGTTATGAATGAAGTAGTATCTAATTATATTCTTAAAATTTAATTTAACAAAATATTTTAAATAAAAAATAAGAAGTTTGATAGAAAAAAAAATACTATCAAACTGTGACAAGATGATTTAAGAGTATTATAATATATTGTCCAGGAACTTCATAGGAACTAGCTGTATATGATAACTAATGAAATGGGATCAATTTATTTATTTTTAAGTTTATGTTTTTGGGTACTTTTTTGCAGTTCATTGAGTTTGACAGTATTATAGAGCTTCAGATTGAAGGAATCAAGACGGATGAATCGAGGGTGGAATTATGTTCATATGGTCATCATTTGACCTTTATATTGTATGTTACAATCAGGTTTTGTCCAATTTCTATTGTAATCTTTCTGAAAGGGAATGGGAATATTCGGATGGCGGAAGTAGCCTTGTATCAGAAAAAGACTAGAAATATGGAGCCAAACTATGGAAATCATATAAACTTTGAAGAAACCGAAGGGGAAAAATATCGGATGATACCATAATTTAGCGCACACGACAACAAAGTTTATCAAAATCCAGAGAAAAAGCCACCAGATTTTGTTTGGGGAAATGCGTTGTAATGGACAAAGACAAAAGAAGGTTTGAAGACGGAACATGAGATTCATAAGGTTTCTGGAGGTTCTTTGAATTTTCTGTTGTCTGAATGGAGACTGCTGACAGACAATTTAAAGAGGGCACATCGACTAGAAAATGAAAGAAAATAGATTATTCCTTTGTTTTTTATCAATGGTAGCATTCAAATGCTATTTGATGTCAATAAAAATTTCACCAACATTGTTAATACTCCTCAGAACCGAATTCTGGCTATTCGATTAGTTTGGTAAGGCTTTAATTTTCAGTTTAACACAGTACATTGAGACCATGATTCTAAAACAAATGATGAATCCATTTATCACAATTTTCACAAAATACCTGAACTAAACACAAGTTACATGGTGAAGCTATACTTTACCTATACTTGTATGGATTGCAGAGGATATACTAATTAGTCTTATGAGAACTATTTAAAAGGCTTTTCCAGAGCCTCCTGACGTTGATGAATATGTATTTTTAGAGCAACTACTACATGAACATTGAGTTCGATGTTTCTCTGAACCTGTGAGACCTGTTGATGACGATGATGTGTAGGATAATTTGCAGAGATTCATGGGAGGCGCATAATACATTGGTACTGGTAACTTTGATGGCAGGATAGGCAATGGAGCTTCAAAGTTTAGGACATTTATCACTTGCCTTATAGAAGGGCGGTGAGTGTAATCAGGATGGCAGCACCATAACCCAGTTACCATCAAACATTCCATTTGTCGCTCATCAAAGTCCTTGCCTAATCTCTTATCGACAGCTTCTAGAAGTTGGCCTTTTCCATAGAGGTCCCAAACCCATTCTGTCATCCTTACCTTGCTTGGTTCTTCCCTCGGTTCAACTGGCTTTCTTCCACATGCAATTTCGAGGGCCACAACTCCAAAACTATAAACATCAGATTCCTTGCTAGCCTTGCCGGTTGTGACACATTCAGGTGCTAGGTAGCCCATGGTGCCGGCCAAAACAGTTGTTTGTGAACCAAGGTCATGGTCCACAAATCTTGCAAGACCAAAATCTCCCAGCTTTGCATTGAAGTTTGAATCCAACATAACATTGCTAGATTTTATGTCTCTATGTACCACACATTGTTCCCACTCTTCATGAAGATATAACAGGGCAGAGGCCAATCCAAGTGCAACTTTGTGCCTTACAGTCCATGTTAACATGGTTTTACCTCCAAAGAGATGAGAATCAAGGCTTCCATTAGGCAGGAATTCATAGACAAGAAGGAGTTCACCTTTTTCATGGCACCAGCCAAGAAGTTGAACCAGATTCCTATGTCTCAAACAGCTAATAATCTTCACCTCTGATATGTACTCCTTTTTTCCTTGCTTTGACCCACTGGAAACCCTCTTTACTGCCACTTCTATGTTGGAATCACTTAATAATCCCTTATAAACTACTCCAAATCCTCCCTCTCCAAGCTTTCCAACCTCAGCAAAACTATTTGTTGCGCGAATTAGTTCATGATACGTAAACCTTTTCGGCCCTGTCCCCTTTTCAAACTCATCCTCTATGGTGACATCAATGGCCTCACTGTCTTTCAAACGTGTCCTTATTTTCCATATGATGATGAAAGACAAACATAATCCACAAGTCAATAGGCCAAAACCTACAGTCAAACCAACAATCAAACCTAAATTCTTCCCTTTCCCACCACCTGTCTCCAAGCTTGAATCAAAACTCCAAGAAAGAATGTTATGAATTTCAACCTGACGCCCTGTGGATGCAGAGAAACCTATTCTAACCCATTCTGGCAAAATATCCCTCAAGTCAACAATATATGCAAGGCTAGAATTTCCACTAAAGACTGGATTATCAGCATAAGTTAGAAAAACACTTAGATTTCTTGTGGTAGAGTTGTAACTTACCCATGCGTTTGCTCTTGATCCTATCTTAATGCTACTTTTCCATGTGACAGTTTTCACTGAAACGATGGAGTTGATATTGACGCCTACATGATCATCACTTGGATCCCATTCATTTTGGAAACTATCAAACTCCACTGCAACAATATTATTGCTGGAGGAGTTAGAGGTTGAGTTAGGATTAAATAATGCAAGATACCCATCACTCGAATTGGGAGGAATTTTGGAGTCGAATGGTGCAATAAAGAAGGATATCCCATCACCATATTCACTAAGATTGACTGCTTTTAAGATGAAGGAGAAATGGGTAGTAAAGTCTGTTAGCTTTCTGTTGCTAGCATCCCAAAGGCGCACTGGTTGATTATACGAGGCACGTCCAATGCTGCCAGTGAGGCTGTCAATAGCATCATTCTTTGTGAGTTGAAGAACGTTAGCTGATGCGAAAGAATCCCCTTCGAATTCAATGTTTTGCTTGTTTGGACTGAAACTATTAAAGTTGAAGGAAAGTGGATTGGCATAAGGGAGTAGCAAAAGAAAGGAAATGAAGATCTTCATGACAAGAGAACGACATTGTTGAGCAGGAAGATGGCATGAAACTGAGATGGAGAGAGCCATGGTCGAAAGGCATAGAGGAGAGAATGAAGGTGAAATGTTCTTCAAGGCCTAAACGAATGGTTAAACTATATTACTATAGTTTTAAACAAACTCTTCTAATCATTCAACTTTGGCATATATAATTAAATTAAATCAGCAAAAGGTCAACATTATGTAAACAGATGCGTGTGTTTAAAAATTGAAGACTCTCTAATTGCAACAATTGGATCCTGAGAATGAGACCAAATGCCATCATATCCTGACCGTTGAAGGCGAGTTTTGGACTATACATAAACAGGTTTTCAAGGAATATAGAATCTTATTGTCTATGCAGAGTCGACTGATAAATTAGCTTGGACGGCATGCGTGTTGCTTTAGGATGGTAATTTCGTATACGCGGTTCTATCTACTCCGACTCAGGTATTGAAATGTTTTTTTTTCACATGGTAGGTGACGATTCTTTCAGCCTTATGGTTTGGTCTCTTATGTTTGGACTTTGGTAGGAGGTTGACTTGGATGCCAACAAATGAAAACCAAACAGCAGGGATTAAAGAAACAAGGAAAACGAATGAAGTTCCATCATAGAAGGGAAATTACAGACAAATAATAGAAAAACGTCTGATGTTAATATCAGTAACCAACTTCAGAATTAAACAAAGCTGATATTGCCGCCTTCTTATGGATTGCCAAATGTTCTACATTAACTGGTTTTTTTTTTTCTTCAAGTGAAAGCCATCTACATATTGCTGCCCCGCAAAATTCAACGATCAAAAGGTAGATTATAATTCTGTCTTTCCTTTCTAATGGTCACTAGGTAATAAATCACCAACAGAACTATTTGGGAACCACGAGAGATTTAACAGCATAAAGTTTTTAACAAAAATTAGTTTCCCATTTAAAATGGTAGCAAGTTCATACTGTATATTACAAAAGAAATACTATTAAATTTGAGTTATGGGTTACTCATGGTTTGTCACATGTTTTGTTTCATGGGGAAGTTTCACTGGCTTTATTGGATACCCTTCCCTAGTTTATTTCTTTGGGCTTTTGGATGCTTGGATTTGTGGCATCTTTGTCGTATGTTTTGCCAAATTAGCCTGTTGAGCTTCATTTTATTTGAACCTTCTAATCAAAAGAATTGCAAGGGGAGCCCACGGTCCATTCCAACTTCCAGGACAAACCCTTTTTAAATAAATTTAATAATTTAAAATATGATAAAGATAACACGATATAAATAAAAAATATTAAAATAATATAATTTAAAATTTTAATAAAAAGCATAAATAAATTTAACAAAATAAAAATATATATTTTATGTTTTCATGTCAATATAAATTATAACATGTAATTTTTATGTAAAATATGATACGAATATACGAATTATCAATATTTTACAAAATATAAATATATGAATTATCAATATTTTACAAAACACAAATATACGAATTGCTAAATTTATTCTTGTCTAATAACAGTTGGTTTTTTATATAGGACAATATAATTTTTTTTAATTTTATAAATAAAATTAAAAATTAAAATATATTTAAAATTTTAATTATTTTTTAACTTCACAAACAAATTAACATCTTCATATAAAGCACAACAAGCCACAAGGTATATTTCTAATAGCAAACTAAAATTCCAAGTTCCACCAGATTACCATGTGGTCTTCCTTTCATAGAGAGAGAGAGAGAGAGAGAGAGAGTGAGAGAGAGAGAGAGAGAGAATGACAAAGGCAAATCTTCTTTCCTTAGGTGGAGAAAAAATATTTGACAGTTATGATAAAGTTCATGTGCATCAGTTTCTTATTTATTTGTTTATGTCTCACTCTTAAACATCCCTAATTCCCAACTTTAATTTAATTTTGAGTAATTTTTTCTGATGGTGGGATGACTCATAAAAGCGACATTTCCATTTGTTGGGATGATAAATTAATGGGAAATTAATTCTTCATTGCTACAACTTTTTCTTGGTCTTTGTTCTTATATCATTTGTTGATGATTGACACCTGGCTAAGCTCGTTTTTAGCTACCATTAAATTAATATCTAATCTCGGATTTAGGTCTCCTTAATCTAAGAACCCTAGCCCTAGTTTCAGTTCATAGCAAAGATTATCGAATCTTATTGGTCCGACAAATCCCATTCACATGGCCTTGAGTCAATGGCAAGTTGGGTTTAGTGACAGGCAGTCACCAAATTATTAAGGTTATCCGTTAGCTTGGAATGGTCCACTAAACGTCAATTATAAACTTAATTAATCATAATTAAATCATACTAAGTATATTTTTTTTAACTTTATAAAGGATAATAAAATTAAATTAATAAGTTTATTACGGTCCGATTGTATAATTTGTTCATATAATATTGTATTCTTTTAATTTTAGTGATTAAGATTTAATTTTTTTAATTTTAAATATAAAAAAAAATACATATGTCTGTGGCCAATAATATTTCCCATTTGCTGAGGTCGATGCAAGCGTGCCGAGACTCCCCTCGATTGGTGGATGGTGATTTTTAGGCTTTCACATGTATGTCAGTACTCAACTTGTATTTTCCAACAAAAATGTTGGAAGAGATTTAATTGGTCATCAACATATCCATGCTTTAATCAAAGATAAAGCTTATGATATAGTTATATTTTGTAAAATATGCATAAATTTTATTTAGTGTATGCTTGAAGGCAACCTTTGCTCATGATCCACAAAAGAGAAGCTAATAGCTATGCATTTTCACTCTAAATTTGGCAAGTATATCAGTAAATGCTTACTGTTTGCAATCTTTGTTTTTGCTTTTACAAAAGAAAAAACCCGAAGTTTAAGATTAAAAAAAATATAATAAATATTGAAATTTAAATTTTAAATTTATTAAATTTTATTTTTTAAAAATAATTATATTAATTAAATTTCGAGTTCATTTATAATCTTTGTTCGATATCTATAAATCATTAGCTTTACTCGGGTTAAAACTTAGAAGAGACAACTAAATCATCTGGGAGATTTGTCCACATAAGTAAACTATATTAAATTAAGCATAATCAATCTCTGTCTATTCAGAAGACAAACGGTCGACAAAGACCTTGATAAAATAAAATGGACTAGTATTTACATAAAAAAAAAAAAAAAGCTTTAGTCATAGACTTGTTTTGTGTATAATTTTTTTTTCTTTTATATAAAAGATAACAATTATAAATAAAAAAATTAAAATTAATCTCATCGCACACCAAAACAAGAATTTCAAATGAATTGCATCGATGATCAAAATAGAGTTTTTATCATATAAAAAAGAATAAAATTTTTTTTTTGCCATCTTTAGTGTTTTAAGATTACTTATATCATATGATCGTGTAATTAAACTAAGGTAGGGATTCTTTAGGCTACAAAATACTTACATGTGAAGTCAAACTATTTCATCATTTAAAAAGAACATAAAAAAAAAAAAACCCTATAATTTTCTTTATTTGGATGTGAATTTTTGAAAGAAACATTAAATTCGATATCAATGAGAAGAAAAGATAATTATTTTTACAGACAGAACAACTCTAAAACCCCATTAAAAAAAAAAAAAGCATGTGCAACTTTGTACACTTAAAAATGTTAGGTTCAAGTTTCTAATTAAATTTGGTAAGGTTTTGTTTGGTAGTTTTAGAGACCAACATTGAAATAGTACCAACCAACCCGGAAAGCTTGCTGCAACCAATAGAAAAAAAATATGTAAGGCCTTTTACATTTGGATGGAAGAAATTTGTTTCTCTATCTTTTCCTTATTTGGAAACTTAACAAGGAATGAACTCCTCTCCAACTCCAACGCTCTGTCTGACACGTGGAGATAATCCCAAGTTTTGTAGTCGTTAATGCTATATATAAAAATTGAAAAGAAAATACCTAAGTCATAAGTATTATATATGATCAATTAATTATACGATAATATTTTATTAATGTATAAAATTAAAAATAATCAAATCTTTAAAAATAAATATTAATAAGTTTAAACTAATGTTACCTTTTTCTATTAAAATTTTTTAACTTAGGCTTGAAATTAAGTATATAGTTGTTAATTTCTTTTCCTCTTTTGCTTTTGATTCAACTTTTTCTATCATGGCCTTGTTTAGATGTTTAAAAAAATAGTTTAAAAAACTTTTCAAGAGGTTTTTTATTTCATTTGTTTTAGAATTTATTATCCAATATACCACTTTCATGTATACAAAAATATCTAAAAAAAATTCAAAATTTAATTTAATTTATTCATAAAACTATGCTTAAAACGTGGCATCCAACAAATTCTGAGTCCAAACCAGAACTATTCATAGTTATTAATTTAAACCTCAAAAACCAACTCCATTAGTTTGCTCAATATGCAGTTCTACCTTCACCATAAAAGCCACTTTGCACTTATAAAGCTTATGTTGACCACCTTAACCACTAGCTGACTATTTCCAATTGGCTTAGCCCTGTAAGCAGCTTTCCTTGTATTCTTCTGAATAAGCTGAGAGAATCTTTAGTTTTTATTCACTAAGACTGGCCTTGGACTCTCATCCATTTAATTTTTTCTTTGTGCACTGTGTAGAAACCCTAGCTACAAGAAAAGGATGGGGAGAGGGAAGATTGTAATTCGAAGGATCGATAATTCTACGAGTAGGCAAGTAACCTTTTCAAAGAGAAGAAAGGGTTTGATCAAGAAGGCGAAAGAGCTCGCAATACTATGTGATGCAGAAGTTGGTCTTGTCATCTTCTCCAGCACTGGAAAGCTCTATGAATTTGCAAGCACCAGGTAATTTGATATCATTTCATTATAGATTTTTTAAAAAATAATTTCACATTCCAAAAGTCATGGATGAAAGGAAAATCTAACTTTGAACATTAAGAGGTTTTTTTTATATCTGAGATTGTCAAAATTTAAACCATAAACACTGAAACTAATAGAATTACTCGCGTTATCATAGTTTCATATGCTTTTTTTCTAATTTCTTTCTATCTTATGCCTAATTTATGCTTTTTAACTTATGCAAATCACAAAATCTTCTCCATTTCAAGCATATATATATATTTTGATAATTGTTTGTGCTATGAATATATATTTAGTAAGCAAGTAATTATCTTGCAACTCTATGTTAGTATTTATATGTGTTAAACATTCCTCATTTGGTTCATCACCGACATCAATTAATAACGTTGGCCAGTGGAGGTTTACCGTGCAAGATATTGCATGGTATCCAACTAATAAAGGCAAGGATTGTCTTCGTGCATGCCTCTGCCGTAAAAAATAAAGCTACTATATTAAGAAAGCTTACGTATATATATGCACCTTAATTTAGTAAAATGATCATGAACAGGCATCACTCAAATAAATTGTAGTGAAAGCTGATATTATTCAAGCATAGCAAAAGTCTTAGAACGCAGTCCGTAGGGATGACCAAGAGATTAGGATTGAAAAGGTACAATTTTGCAAGCGCTCCAACTGTCATGAAATTTTGAACGGAGGGTTTGAAGTTCCAACCTGACTATACATACATACATATATAAATATATATATGTATATATATATATATAGTTAGAATTAACTCGTTTTTTGCATAATATATCATGGGAGAGGGAAAAAGATTTAGTTTTCCTAATGGTTTAACATGGATGTTCACCGATCTTTTATAGGAGGTGAATTTTGCAAGCTGAGATTCGATTTCTAACATTTATAAATATAAATTTTCCTTTCTCAATTTCCCTAAATTTCGGTCTCCTTTGTGAAAAAAAAAAAAAAAAAAACTGGAGGCAGGACAGTGGAGCTTATTTGCTTATTCATGGTCAATCTCATTACTCTTTTTTGCTAGAATTAGCCCCCAATAATATGATTTTAAAAGAATAGCCTGTTACAAGTTCATAAGATGCTTATTAATGGATAAGCTTTGTTACAGTTTTCTTCTCAGGGGGTTTAGCAAAAGAAGGAAGAATCTAGGGAATTGCAAGTTTTTGGTTGCACATGAATTCCAAACTCTATTTACAAACCATGATTGAAAATTTGAAAAAATAAGGACAGGATAATGATTAAGAAGGATCAGCAGGCGAGATAAATGGGGTTATCAGGTGAATGATTTGATTAGGATCGTTTCAGCAATAATAGAGACTAATTAACAAAAGAGAGAACAGCAAAGGTTAACATTAATAAGTGCTTTTTATCATCCATCCAGAAAAAAAAAAAAGGAATATAATAAGTGCTTTTCTATGAAGAATGCACTATTAGAAGGAACTGGCTTCAATTTTGGTGTGCTCCAAGGACCATAGGAATGGCAGAAGTAGCATGATCAACACTGAATAGCTGACAATAAAATGGTGAAAATGGACCATTATCAAAAAAATTAAGAACATATATACATTAGATAAGGTAAATTTTGTAAAAAATTTTATTGAAAATTATTCGATAAAAATATTAATAAAAAATTTAAATTAATAAATTAATAATTAATAATATTTAACGAAAAAATCAAATAAAAACTTAGACTAAATCTTTTAATATTATATATGCCACATTTTCAGTACCCTTTTTTCATTTCAAATCAAAGGAAATTCCCACGCCAGTTCTTTTTTGTACCTTTGCTGCTGTTGATTCTTATGTTAAGAACGTGATTGTATCATCTTTTTGACTAATTTCTCTGCTTTTGCTTATAAGAAATCATAGTAAAGTGCTTTTCATGATTTTATTGCTAGACTGATGACATTATTTATGTTGTTGATTTGATATTTGATACACCAATTCCCATGCATGTTGGCATTGAAGTCAAAATTATACGGCTAGCTTTAGTATAAGTTTCATTTAGGTCACCTCAAACGATCTCAAAATGGAAAAATCATATAGAAAAAGTAATAAAAGAATCAAGCATCATGCTAGAATGTTTTTTAGATAGCCACCAAGCACATATATAGTACTCCTCTTTTTTTTTTTTTTTTAACAAAATAGCCCTCAACTTTGGAATAAAGAAAGTAATTATAAATATTAAAATTTAAACGTCAAATTTATTAAAAAGTAAGTGTATAAATTAATTAAATTAAATTTTAAATTTATTTTTTAATTTCTTTTCATGTAATTAGATGAATGTATGATAGCAAATAACTTAAGTTTTATATGCAATGACATGGGTGTTATTCTTACAACTAGTAGTACCAAGTTTTAAGCTACTCCATGTTTATACATAGAGGAAATTATCTTTTTGATCACCTAACTTTTTTAGATCTTTTTATTTTGATCATTGAATTTTGAAAAATAACATTTTACGTATCAATATTTATAAGTATTATTATTTTAATCACTTAACCATTAAAAAATAATGAGCCCCTTCAAATGACATTCCACATCACTGTACTTTGATCTGACGGTTTATTAACGTTAGGTGCTTTATCACATGGTAATAAGAAAATTTATTTTTTAAAATTTATTTATTTTTTTAATTTTTATTACCATGTGGACACAATCATGTAGCTGAGTAGCTGCTGTGGATATGCAATGGTGATACGGAGTTAATGTTAAGTACGGAAATTCATTATCTTTTAACAACTCAATGACCAAAACAATAGAAGTTTGTGACTAAATTCTAAGTTTTCAAAATTGGATTGATAGAACAAAAAATTTTAAAAATTAATTGACCAAAAGATAATTTACCCATAAATATGATTTAAATGAAATGAAACTATATATTTTTGCCATGTTTTTGTGAGTCATTCCCATTTGCAGCCAAATTTAATTTGGATTTTTGCTCTTTCTTTATATTTCAAAAATTAAAAAAATAAAAGACAAATAACAAAACGCAGAAACCAAACAAAGCCTAAGAGAGATCTCTTCTGATAATTTCTGGAGGTCTCTTTCAACAATGTAACCATTGCAACCAAATGAAAGGATAGACATGAAGTTTCAAATTAAGCAGATGCAATTGTACTGCCAGCCCTTGATTATTCTATTTACTTCTACACCAGCATGAAATCAGTTATTGAACGATATAACAGCTTGAAAGAGGAACACCAACAATTGTTGAATTCATCATCAGAAGTCAAGGTAAAGTTCTCCACCACTTTTACCATATTTATGAGGATTGCTATTCTAAAATTTTTCTCTGCATACATGGCATGGAGGGAAAAAAATGAAAAGAATGCTGAATTTGGTGTTTTATGTGTTATCATAAGATGAAACTAGAGCAATTATTTTCTGAAAGAACATGTATGTTATATAATCTTTGTTTGTTGGCAGTCTAACCTTAACAGAAGCAAACACTGCAGCAAATGAAAGAATCCCAGGTTTGAAAAGTCACCTTTCCAATGTAAAAATACATCTTTCAACTGGTTATAAAGTATTGAACAGCTGATCTAATTGTTGATGAATTCCCTGGACCTCCAAAAACCAGAAAAGTTAGTCAATGAGGATACTGCTATGAGATTAACAATCCATCACTAAGGCAATCTTTAAAGTAAAGAAAAAGGATACTGGCTTAAATAAGTTCAAATTTTAAGGAAAATGACCCTTTAGAAAGCCCAGGTACACCAAAAATTGTTTACATGAGCTCCAAGAAAGTCAACATGAAAATTCATGGCAAATATAGGCTGTTGTATCAAAAATACCCAACAGAAGGCAAACCATAACAGTTCATTAGCAGTCTCTTTGACAAATATTGTTTGAATAACAGAGAGCAAAAATCAAGTTGTACCCCGCTAACATAAACCTCTAATGGTGGCAACAAGGTAATTTATTCAGGTATGTACTAACTGATTTCATATATTTTAATAGTTTGATCTCATTACAAATAACTAAAATCACAAAAGGTGCACTCAAGTAAATGAACAGAACAGAATGCCAAGAACATGTAAAGCAATACAGCATGCAAATGAGCTATATGTTAGAGATCACTTCTGGAACTTCAACAAGATTACAAAAAGAAGCAAGATTTCTGTTACTAACTCATGAGGCCATAATCAATTTATTAGAAGATAGCAGCAGATTATGAATAACCTTTAATCCTTTCATTAACCCAAAAATAAAAATAAAAAAATTAGAAAAACATACAGTAGATTGGTTTTTGCATTAAGCTATTTCAATTTGGATTGTTTCATTGCATAATGATGAAGCCTCTTTAAAAGCTAAGGAAACTATCTTATCACTGTCATATCATCATTTTCACATCATGTTATTAAAATGCACATTGCTTTCTTTCCATGGGAATTAAGATTACAAATTTTCTTATGTTCTAAATAAACTAATATTTACTGTTTACTTGACAGTTCTGGCAAAAAGAGGCTGCAATCTTGAGACAACAACTACAGAAGTTGCAGGAAAACCATCGGTACATCCTTCTCTTTGAGCTTAAAATTCCATATTATTTCTTCTGAAAGATGTTTCTTATCCTGAAACAAAATTTTAAAATAAAAAACTTAGAAATATAAGTCAGTTCTGTTATCTTTTCAAATGCCATAAAAAGATTATTTTAGTTTTTCAGATATAAGACAAATAGACAAATAGACAAATAGTATAAAGAAAAATTATTATTGCAAATAATAGAAAATACCAATTAACATTCTAGAAATGGTGAAGAAAATATGCAAGAACAAATATCTTTGGGAAAAAGAACAAACAATACATTCAATTGCCAATGCTTGAAATGTAGAAATGAGTTAGCAAAACACAGGTAGTTAATAATTCAGTATACATGAAATGTAAGAGGCAAAGAAGAAAATAGAAACAGCCAAGTAAGAAACAACCCTGCAACTACACTGCAAGAGGTATCAGGCGAATGTTTAGCACACATTTTGGTTTTGGTTCACTTACAACTAATAAATTTTATGTGTCAGATATCCTCACAACATTTAACTCATTTCAGTCCTTCCATTCACCTAAGCTTGGGAAATATATGTAACTCTAAGCACCTTAAACAGTTTGACTTCAGTGCATCTCCATTTCACTTAAATAACACCTTCTCATATCTTCAGAGATTAAAAAGGGCCCCATGATCTGGTCTGACAAAGATAAAACAGGAAATATAACTCCCCATATGCATGTGCCACATCTATGGAATGGAATCATACCATGTTGGAAAACCACAGCAATCCTAACTTGTAATAAATCATGGTGGCAAAGCTACACTCTAGAAAAAACCAATTCCCCCTCCAACCCAAACTTTTTTTATGTCCTTGAAGACCTCGCAACCTATGCCATAAATCCATATTGTCACTTCCCAGAAATTGACCCGCCAAGTATCTCTGAAAAGCTGCTTCGTGAACATAAGAATTTTTACTCAATCATTTCTCCTTGAGTATGGCATAAAGATAAGATTAATGGAACAGCAGAGTAAAGGCTGTGGATGATTAAATTGCTAAGTATGACCCAGCTCCTCTTTAAGCAAGAAGAAAGATGGAAACCATAGAAAACAATTCATCAAAATACATCCACAAACTTCACAGTGCTTTGAAATACCCCAAGAGAACTGTGAGGTGACCAGAATTGCAGACCAATCTTCACTTGTATGGGCTTTCTGACTCCCTGGATTTCTGATAAGGAAATAGCATGATAATGTTGGTTAATCATGTACCGACTAGACCTGAATTTCAGACACTCCAGTCATTTTGGAACTCAACAAGTTCAAACATTTCAGACAACTGGATCGCATAACCATATGGCTAGTTTCAGACAGCAAACAAAGGGGTAAAAAATTACTGTCCAGGTCCCTTTATCCGTCTCAAAATCAGTTGGAATGTTGGTCAAAGACTTGGACTCAGAATAGATAAAGAAATAAATCACCAATCAACAATGAAAGTAGAAATAGATATGCAAAAATTTCACCAGAAAAACACGCACTGCATACATCACCTTGCACTGAAGTTCAAGAAATTGTTATGAGAAGAAACCGCATTACAGATCTAACAAAGATGTAAATATGATAGATACATTACATTCAGACACACACAAATACATACAATGTGTGCGTGTGCGTATTGTGTGTGTATGTGTCCACGTTGCATGTGCATGTATATGTATATAGGATGTGACACAACATAAGAAAGACCTGGTGATTGACCAACTCTAAATAATCTGACAAAGCAGGCAACTCATGGGCGAACAGCTTTATGGTTTGAGTGTTGAAGACCTGCAGAATCTAGAGAACCAACTGGAGATGAGTTTGAGAGGTGTTCGCATGAAAAAGGTCAGAAATCTCCAGTATTTATACAATTTTTATGCATAATCTCCTGGCAGTCAATTTGAAACAGATGCCTGAAATTTGATGTGCTTAATTTTTAACTTTTGCAGGAATGGATATTAACTGAAGAAATACAAGAATTAAGCCGAAGGGTCTTTCAAAAATTACACTAGCTGTGTTTTGGTTACATTTTTGTTTATAGAATCACTTCAATTGTTATACTTACATAGTTCTTGCACTTTATTCAGGGGAACCTCATTCATCAGGAGAATGTGGAGCTGTACAAGAAGGTAAATCTTATTCGCAAAGAAAACACAGAATTATACAAGAAGGTATTCCGTCTTATTGATGGATACAAACTTCAGAAAAATACAAGAAAATTAGTTAAAAGAATAACATTCTCTATAATTCCATAACATCAAATTAGAAACCCCACTCAGTTAATGGATTATGGTTCATGCCTCAGGTTTATGGAACCAGGGATGTAAATACATCAGGTGGAAATGCCTTGAATTCGTATGGTTTTGACTCTGGAGAGGGTTCACATGTCCCTGTTCATCTTCAACTAAGCCAACCCGAGACACAAACTTATAACACTCCAAATAGGGATAAGGAATAAAGGTAAAAATGGTTTCTACTTTGAATAGAAATATTTCCCTGTCACCATTGATCCAAGTATATTCTATGAAACTGCAGAAGCACAAGAAAGAATGCAAGAATGCAGTGAGGATTCAGACAACCGTTACTTCACCCTCGGTAAACCCCAAGTCTTAAGGAATTTTATCCCTGGAGAGATGATCTACAAAAAGAACAATCGGTAAATGACCAATCTGACATTGTTTGTGGCAGTACAATAAAATCACTATAAGTTATCGGTGAACCAGGAATTCATGCAAGTGCAAACCAAAATATTAAATAAAACATTGTTTGCACAAAGGTATCCCGTTCATCAAAAAGATTTTAACCATTGCCAAAAGTATCTCCTTCAACAAAAAGATTTTAACCGTTGTCAATGAGATCCGGCTCTTCTTGTATATAATTTGTCCATTCAATTAGCTAAATCCAAATGATTAACGAGCATTAGAGAGATGAAATAACATTAAAGGCCCTTCCTTTGAGATGTTTCTACAAACTGGAATGAAAAATTATTTTGGAAAAGATGGGGGAGGGATAAAAAATATATCGTGTCAGGTTGCCCCTAGGCTGAATAAAGAAGGGAGGGGAAGTTATTGCTTCATGTCTTCCACCTTTAGCATGATAGTTTCTGACTTGTACTTCTATTTCAAAATAGTCTGCTTGATCCCCCAAGGCAAAGACATGGCTTCATCTTTCAGAACAATAGGTATCAATGAAGAGGCTCAAACATTAAAATCTCAAACTTTTTCTTCCTTACACTTCATGTCACTAAGTCCTTTTAATTACAAATTGGCAGGCTCTTCCTCACAGCCAAAGCTTTATGTCATCCTTATAAAGCTTTGATTTGGAAAAAAAAAAAATCACTTCTCACACTTGCAGCTTCCAAATGTAGCTCTACTTATCTGAATTAGAGAACCATCAACACTAGTATTGTCTTATCTTCTACATCACTGCTTGTACCTATCTTCCAGAAATTAAAAAATGTTGAAATGCAATGCTATCATCTAGGACTGGTTGACATAAAAGTTTGTCTGAATGTGGATGGACAAGCTAACGGCATCAAACTTCTAAATTGCAGGAAGTCCATTATGCAACTTCAGCACAAATACGATTTTAACGAATTTCAATTTACTAATTGTTAGATAAACCTTCATATACGAATACTGCTGCAACCAAGAGGATACATAAAATGAACAGTGACTACATCAATCTAAGCCTCGCTGGGAAATAGATAAAGGACATGGCACCATACTTAAAACCTGAATGCTCTTTCAAATGATAACAAGTACCAAACTAAAACTATTCCATTCGTACTAAAGGGTAACTAGTCTGCTAAAGTGTTGAAATAAACGTTTTATATTAGAATTAAGCAGGCTTTTCTAGACCTGCCAATCTTAACATGACACTAATACGATAGGAAAAAAGAACACCAAGGTGACAGATTTAAAATTTTAACATTAACAAAACAAAAAATATATATTTTTTGTTTTCGTATTGACACATGATTTTAGTGTAAAATACAATAGGAATGAAAGAATTTTAGTATTTTACATCGTACAAATACACGAACCGTCTAGGCTTTTCCAAATTAGCTCAGACATGAAACCACATTGAAGTCCAACACAAAGGATTTTCTCATTTTGGTATAATCTAAGGATTTCAAGATATGAAATCCCAAATAATTGGAAGAAATAAAAAAACACCGTTTTAATCTTTATAATATTCTCTATTGAAATTGTAACCACCAAAAGGGAACTCTTTAGGTTCCCCCCAACCGAAATGATGGTAACAGAAATGAATATATATCACCATTTTTTTCAAAAAAAAAAGGAAAAAATGCTTGGAAAAGAGTAAGGGTTTTGAATTAACAGAGGAACAAATTTTTGGATTTGGAAAAGAAAGAAGATTGAAAGAAAGGATCGGATCTTACCAGGAGAGAAGAAGCTCACAGGGAAAATATCTGACGTAAGAGTTGGTTTTTGAAAAAAGTAACGAGCAACTCAAAATATCTGGGGTTCACAGATTTAAATAATGGAGGGAATGTGGTCCCTTTTTGTTTAGGCTCCACGTAATCCCTGCACCTATGGGCCGGACCCAAACCAAAAATTGATATGAAACCAAATTTGATCTAGGCCCAAAGAAGCCCAAATATGCTAGGCTTACAATTGGGTCAAAAGTCAACTATTTTTATTCCTATTAAATGCGGTACCAACGCAGAGAGGTTTTAAAAAAATTATTAAAAATATTAATTATATCCGAATTAGACCGGATTCAGACTTAAAAAACTTTATCCAAAGGCCGGTAATGGTCGAGACGAACCACCGAACCGGATAGGCAGCACAACGCTTGGGACGTACCTGAGACATTATTTGAAAAATTTATATTTGATTAACTTACGGTATAGATATAGATTTTATTTATTGTCAATAAATTAAATAATATTATTTCATTAAAAATAAATATAAATAAATTTAATTAAAAAAAATAATTATTAATGAAATAATATTATTTGATTTATTTTATTAATAAAATAATATTATTTAATTTACTGTTAATATATAAAATTTATATCAATACATTAAATATAAATCTTTATTTGAACGGTGAAATAATTAAATGAAAATTTTCTTGGCTATATGTGTATCAACTGTGTTGAATGTTGATCACAAAAACACTCTCTGATCAATCTCAGACAAACGTACGGATCATTCATAGTTTCAAGTCTACAACATTGCCGGCCAACTTGCACATCTCTACGCCACAATTTGCCTTCCGTGACCTTTCTTGACAGGTGAAGCTTGCTTTCGAGAAGGCATATTATAACTTTGATCAATGCCAATATATGGTAATGAGTCATGAGAATCCATTTCAACAAATTTAATTTCAGAAAAAATAAAACCAATCAACAAAAGAAATGAACATATACTTCCTTTTCCTTGCCATCTTGGTTATTTTGTAAAAAACTAAAGTTCTACATGCAACTGAGTGTCTGATGGCATTTGAAACTAAATTTTCTGCAATGTAAGCAGTTATGAATCACAGTTAATTAGTCTTTTCACGGAGGCTGAAAGGCTGTTTGCCAGATGAAAATTAAATCATTGGTGAATGGTGAAATGCTGAAAGCATTCCCTTGAAAAGAATCTGAAGATGAGAATTTAATTATGCAGATCAGAAGAACAAGAAGAGTCTTGCTTCTGTTGGTTTTCAGTCAGTCCTGGAACCTGAAAAATGCACCCCCGACGGCCCTGACAGATTCAATATGCCATCATCCTAAGTATAGATCCATTATTTCTAGGGGAAAAAGAGAAGGGGAAAAAAAAAAAAAAACCAACAACAACAGAACTGTGATTCAGCAGAAATGTGATTCTTGGAAACTTAATTGCAGGTCTTAATATATATATTACGACAAACAGGAAAACGAAAAACAGCACATAGATAAACACAGCATTACTCATGTACTTCCCATCTAACATCCTGAAACACTCGCCGGCAATGGCCAGATTCTTCATGATGACAACCCTCATCAAAATTCTGAGAATAGCTAACTGCATCATAGTGAAAAGACAATGGCTTTGATCCATATATGCTATTCTTCCCATCCCTTAACAACCTCCTCAGCAGATTCCTCCATCTCCTCCTTCTCTTGTCACTGCTGCTGCAATAATGAATGCGTGAGTACTCCATTTCTTCATGCACAGGGAAGCATGATGGGGACATCATATAACACCCGGAAAAATAAGAGGATCGCCGGCGGCCGAGATCCCTCTCCATCTCAGACATTGGTTTTTCTTCTCTGCCCTACTAGCTAGATGATGTCATGTCTCTCATGTGATCGTATGTTTGAGAAGAGGACGTTGTGTCTTTTATAAGTATCAAGAATACCAGATCTATCCTTTTTTTTTGGCAGCAACTTAGTGGGCCATTAAGCCTGACTAAATTGGATTAGAAAAAATAGCAGGACAATAATCATGTGATTCCTGACAAATAAGTAGTGTAATATATATGTTTTTTTCACTACAATTCCCGAACTGATCCGATGTGATGAAAATGAACTTTGGATTCTCACAGGACCTGAACAAAATCAGTCAATTATATACAAGATTATCTATTTGAACTTAGATATCAAAGGATTTGAAATTGTTCTAATTGCTCAGCTGATTTGAGCGAATAATTGCAATGAAATTACAAAAATTAAAGCTAATAACAGCAAAACAACAGACAACAATATTTTCATTCACTCACAACTGACAGATAAGATTGTGTTGTTTCAAACCCAAATCAATAGTATAGACCAAAAAAAAAAAAAACCTCTATCTAGGTTATACTAATGTCAAAATTCTCTTGCATTCTTTTCCTTTCCATATTAAAACTTGAATTTCCAAATATTACCTTTCTTAAAGCATATGTATTAAATTCCTGAATATATGGCAATGGCATCCTTGAAACAGAAAGATAGGGATATATATTGTTTGTTTTATACTTTATTATTGACCACAATATACTCTATAGAATCCAAATGCAAACAAAACAGTGAAAAGAGTAAAATTTTGCATTCGAACGTTTGACACAATAATTAGTGCATTATCTCTTTTTTGCCTTGGCAATTCCAGAATTAATGTTTTCCTTTAAAACAATTTAAATATTTTTAGCCAGAATGGCAAAACTTGATACCTTGTTGGTGTCCGTTGAACATGTAATTAATAGTATTTTGGTTTGGTACATATAAAAGTTATAAGGAAATTACAATTAACCTGTCACTTTGTTAGTTGAGAAGCATTGGTCATCAAACAACTTCAAAGCTTTAATCATGATAACATCGACTTTCTTTTAATATATGATGGGTAAGCACATTGACTTGTGAAGAAATGCTTGTGAATGTCTTCATTTTCATGAAACAAAACACTTGAAGAATCTTAATCAAACGGTATTGACTGATTTGAACAACTTGGTTTGCTATTTCTTAAGTAAGATTAATGGAGGTAGTTGTGAAAAGAGTGTGTTTGACGCCTTAATTTATATGCTTAAAGATTCTGGTAAGGATGCAGAATTACATTCTATTCAAATAAACAAAAGCTTAGGCTATTACTTTACGCATCTAAATTTAATTCTAAGTGCTTCAATTATCTTTACTTCAAATGTTTGAGGGTTCATTTAAGAGATCTCACCGCATCCTAAGATGCATTTTATGATTGAATCCCTCGAATCGAACTTACAAATAAATGGTAAGCAAATTCAGATTATAATGCCCCGGCTCAACTACCACTAACTCAGCAACTTTTCTAGCCTAAACTATTATACTTGAAAAGCTTAAACCTTTATACGTCAAGAGCTTTATTAATAATTATTTGAACTTTATATGGTTCAGTGGTTAACTATATTTTTTATAGTAAAAACCAAGCACTATGAAAACGTTAAACTAGAAAACTATGTTGATACCCAAATTTTAAAAACCTATATTTCATGTTGGATGTACATGAATTATTGTTTTAAATTGAACAGTGTGTTGATGATTATATATAAAACAAATCTACAAAATAGTGTAAAAAGTATTTAAAACCAAAACATATTTTCTACGAACTTTAACTTTCCCACTCTATTTATGTCTTCAAAACATATAGGTGAAAATGCTTTGAGGCATTGGTTGGTTCTGAAATGGTGGTGGAAAATGGCATCATTCCACCCACTTTACTGACAAAAACTGATTGTTCTGATCAATATGATGAGGAACAAAATTCAACATTTTCCATAATTCAAGAGTAGGGTAATGATCATTTCAACTACTCATCTTCATGTCACTTCAAGCAGTTGTAAATTTAGTTTCGGGACAAAAATTTACAAGTTTTTTAAGTAAAAAAAAAAAAAAAAGGTGATTGAATCTGTTATAGATATTATGGGAGACAGCTTTGAGTGTTCTTGAAGCATCACTGAACCAGTATTTTGACCTTGGTTTTCAATTTCTGTCCATTCTGATTTTGGTCAATAATTCCCGTTGTGAATCAAGCAATAATACTGCAGAAAGATAAGCTTAAGGTGAAGCACAGTTTGGCCCATTCACAGCTTTGTCTTACAGTTGCAGGTGATATATATTCTCTTTCTATTTATGTCTCCAATCTACCCTCCATTTATCATTTATCAGTTCACTGTTATTGCATGAAATTCATTATACCAATGTAGGATGTAATGTGCAGCTTTAATCACACTGGATTACCTGCTCTGCAAATGTTTAATTTGAACATATACGGGATTGTGGAAATGGCTTGATCAGGGAAAATATATATAGGAAGAATCAATAAAAGAGAAATGAGCTTTAAGTCCATGGTTGAACGAAAACAAACCAAATGAGACTGGACTCAAGAACACTATACAAGCTGTTTTTTTAAAAAACATTTCGGTGTAAGACAGCAAATCACCTTACGAAAGCATTAGAACACCACTTGAAACTCATGTGGTCAGGATCAGGGACCCCATGTGGAGAAGCTGAAGTATGTCTTGGACCCAAGACAAGGAGTTTTCACAGGTTGATGAGAAAGGATGGAGCTGGACAAAGATGGTGGGTGCACATGGACCGAAAAAATGGATTTGACCCTGTTTACTGTATACTGTAAGCCTGTTTTTCTGCTTCAGTAAAGTGGCAGGGCGGATGTGGGGTTGAACGGTTGATTTGATTCTTCAGACAAATAAGTTTTTTACCTCCTTCTTGTCATCATAATTAGTGTTTTATGTACTTGTTAAGCAGCCTGGCTTGGCTTCAGATATAAAGAGTAAGGCCCCGTTTGATTGGGGGACAAACACTGCCGTGTAGCTGGCTATATGCCCAACTCTTTTGACCTCATTACAAACGATGAAGGCCAGTAGGCCATCACGATTTTTCGAAATTGTGGTGACTTTAAAATATTTTGATAAAATTTCTTGAAAAGCTAAAACAGCTCAGAGTATATAGCTGTTAATCACAAGGTTCGAGGTTTAAGTTTTCATTTTAGTAAAATAAATATTTTTCCTACAACTACAACCCAGCTTAAGCTCCAATGTCTGGGTTATTGTCCATTTCGAAGGCAAATGTTTAGGTTAGTGTATTTTTTTCCTACGACTACAACCCAGCTTAAGCTCCAATGTCTTGGTAATTGTCCATTTCAAAGGCAAATGTTTGGGCTAGTGTTTTGTGGCCAAGGTCCCAGGCGGCCGGCCCAGTAACAAAGCTATAAAACCTTGGAAAAATGACAGATGAGTTTTAGAGGAAAAGTACAGAGCTTTGGTGGCAAAATCTGTTTCTTAAAAATCAAAATGCATTGAGATGTTGCTATCAGCTGATATCTAAGAGGTTTTAATTTTTGTGGCTAAGAAATGCAGAGTTTTGGATAGGACCTTCCCGGCTTAGATTTTTTCACATCACGCATTTCTTACATTCAGTTGCCCTTTTCTTCATTTATATTAAACATTTTTTATTTTATTAAATTCATATATAATTTTATAAAAATTTTAAATTATTATATTTTTATATTATATCATCATATTATATTTAAAATTATCATATTTAATATAAACTACTTCAACATATGCGAACAAACATTGTTGATCACGCAAACAAAGAAAAAATATAAATTTAAAATTTAATATAATTTATTTATATAATCCGGAGATGATATTCAATATATATAAGATTAAATTTTAACGTTTATAATTTTTTTTTTATTCTCGTATTATAATCTCTTTTATAAAAAGAAAAAACCAAAATTTTGTAAATTAAAATAATATAAAAACAACTTATAACCAACCTCAAAATTTTATTTTAGTTTAAAAAAAATTCAAATGCAAGGCAGCAGTCGATGCCAAGACAAAAAGGAGTCCATACTAAGTGGGAGCCACCAACGGTTCGAAAGGTGGTCGTTACTCGTTAGAGGTACAGAGGATGTTCGCTGTGAGGAAAGGGTCTGAGAATGTGAAGTAAGATGAAATCAAGGAAAATGACTTGGAACCCACGAAGATAAAAAATTGGCTTCCAACCACCAAAAGCTCGCCCTCACCCAATGCCACAAACAAAACCTTAGCAAACATCCCATTATTCCCATACTAACAAACTTCAGCGCACCAAAAAAAAGCAAAGAAAATGGCAATGGCAATGGCGCTTCGACGACTCTCCTCTTCCATGGACAAGCCTTTCCGTCCTCTCTGCAATGCCACCTCCCTCTATTACATGGTTTCTTCTTTTCGTTCTCTTTCGTTTCTTCTTCTAAAATTTTATAATCATTTGTTTGTTTTGTCTTTTGTGGGTGCAGTCGTCTTTGCCAAATGAAGCTGTGTATGATAAGGAGAAACCTGGCGTTACTGTAAAGCTCCATTTTTTTTTTCTTTCAGTTTATTTATTTTAGATTGAAAATCCATTTTTCCTTTTTTGTGTTTGAATTCTTCCTTTAAAAAAATTGTTCTCGTCTTTCTATGCAGTGGCCCAAGCAACTGAATGCTCCACTCGAAGCCGTTGATCCTGAAATTGCTGACATCATCGAACTTGAAAAAGCTCGCCAATGGAAGGTATCTCTATTACTCTATATCCAACTTCAGCAAATTTAGGAAAAAAAATCATTTCCTTCACATTTATATCATGTTTTAAAGGGACTTGAACTCATTCCTTCGGAGAACTTCACTTCGGTGTCGGTGATGCAAGCTGTTGGATCTATCATGACCAACAAGTACAGTGAAGGGTACCCGAGTGCAAGATATTATGGAGGGAATGAGTATCTTTTTTGGGTTTTTGATTTGACCAGAATCAGTAAATTCGTGTTGTATTCAGATGCTTGAGTGGTTTTAACTTTCATCTTTTAGGTACGTCGACATGGCAGAGTCGTTGTGTCAGGAGCGTGCTCTAGAGGCATTCAGGTTGGATCCTGAAAAATGGGGAGGTAAGGGATACGTTTAATTTGATTATGGGAAGAGATTTCAAAGTAATAGTTACTTGTTGGGTGGATAACCTAACTAGAATTTTACTGATTTAGTTACTTGTGGATGCTTGAAGAAGATAGTATATGCATGTTTTCTTTTCATTTCTGACACTCTTTCTATGCTTATCATGCACTGTTGCATGGCAGCCCCTTTCTGGTTCTCCAGCCAATTTTCAAGTTTACACTGCACTATTAAAGCCTCATGACAGAATCATGGCACTTGATCTGCCTCATGGTGGGCATCTCTCTCATGGTTATCAGGTACTTCAAAATTCCATAGCTAATTTTGTTGCAGTGACTTGTCCTTACTTGCTGGCAATAATTAACTGCACTATGACTTTGCAATCAAGTTTTATGCTAGACTGCTAAATATTATTGTCTTCGAACATCAGACCGATGCCTCAGCAATTGCTGGAGTGTTGTAGTTATTGCCAATGGATCCACATCTCTAAATTATGATGTTTAAGTGGATTTAAATTACTGAATTAAACAGTTTCTTAGCAGCTCTATTTGTAAATTATTTTCTTCTTGCGGATTGATGCTTACATGGTTTCATTTGTGGTTGCATAGACGGACACCAAAAAGATATCTGCTGTGTCTATATTTTTCGAGACAATGCCATATAGATTGAACGAGAGCACTGGCTATATTGACTATGACCAGGTATTTTATCAGTTTTAATATTGAGATAGCCTCTTAGTTTTTCTTTCATTACTTCTCGTTCAAAACGTAATAAAATCTTCCTAGATTGCAACTCATTTTTTGTTTAAAGTCATCTGTCCTCCCCAGTTAGGGAACACATTCTGCCAGCTAGCTGACACATATCAATTTTTGTATTGCTTTTAATTAATCGAAGATGTCCCGTGTAGTTTTGGTCTAGTTGTGCTGCTTTTGTAGTTTTGATTTTATCAGATTCCCCTCAATCATGGTAGGATGCTTTTGTAGTTTTGGTTTTATCAGATTCCCCTCAATCATAGTAGGAGATTTTCTTGACATCAAAGTTTTTAATTGCAGTTGGAGAAGAGTGCAACCTTTACAGGCCAAAATTAATTGTTGCTGGTGCTAGTGCTTATGCACGTCTATATGATTATGCACGTATTAGAAAGGTAATCTTCTCTAGATTTATCTTGAGCTATCCTGATAAGATTGTCAAATTGCCATACATCAAAGTTCGATATTTTGACCCTGTTGGATGTCGTATTTGTTATGTATTAACCAGGTTTGTGACAAGCAAAAAGCAATAATGTTGGCAGACATGGCACACATCAGTGGTTTGGTTGCAGCTGGTGTCATCCCTTCACCTTTCGAGTATGCTGATGTTGTAACCACCACAACTCACAAGTCACGTCGTGGGCCTCGTGGAGCCATGATTTTCTTTAGAAAAGGAGTGAAAGAGATTAACAAACAAGGGAAAGAGGTTAGCAGATGAAAGTAAAGTTTACCTTTTTATAATATTTAGGTAATTTTTTGCTCTATGCTATTTTGAAATGGAGGTGGAACAAAAATTTAGACTAGTGATTTTTTCGTGCAGGTTTTGTATGATTATGAAGACAAAATCAATCAAGCTGTCTTTCCGGGACTTCAAGGTGGCCCGCACAACCACACAATTACTGGTCGTCTAGCAGTTGCACTGAAACAGGCAACCACACCAGAGTATAAAGCCTATCAAGAGCAAGCTCTCAGTAATTGCTCTAAGTTCGCACAGGTATCATATGCAAGATGTAGCAGAACTTATTCTGAAACATGGAAACATCCCTTTTCCCATCTACTTATGGAGAAATTTTTTTTTTCAGTTTCCTGAAGTTATTCTTTTTCATACAATGAAAAAGAATGAACCATGTACGCCAAGAGTCATCCATAAGGATGTGTTAGAGAAGTCTAAACAATAAATACATGTGATGCTCTCTTCTTAAATGCAATTGTTTTAACCGCAAAAATCTCCCAAATTTTCAGACTTTGGCTGCAAAGGGATATGAACTTGTTTCTGGTGGAACAGAGAACCATCTAGTTTTGGTTAATCTGAAAAACAAGGTAAAAGATAGACATTTTCTATCCTCTAACTACTTGGAGAAATTAATAAATCTGGTTTAAAGTTCTCGTACCTTACTTCCTGCTTGTGCTTTATCTCCAGACTGCAAGTTTAAATTTGCTACTCTGTTGAATTTTGATACAAGAAATTCTCTTTACTAGTAGAGATGCTGGCTTCATGAAATGAACCATACCATGAAGGCTAGGATGAAACTAAGCTTTTATAGCATCTTTTCTACACGGCATTGATGGCTCAAGGGTTGAAAAGGTGCTGGAAGCAGTTCATATTGCAGCAAACAAAAACACTGTACCTGGAGATGTGTCTGCTATGGTTGAGATGTGTCTGCTATGGTTCCTGGTGGTATCAGGATGGGTAAATTCGTAATCTTCATGCTCACATGACTAAACTTGTTCTGACAAGTTCAATAACACTTCAGGAACCCCCGCTCTTACCTCTAGGGGATTTGTTGAGGGGGACTTCGTTAAAGTCGCAGAATACTTTGATTCTGCTGTGAACTTGGCAGTGAAAATCAAGGCTGAAACAAAAGGTTTTTGCAAGCATTTATTCCTCTAGTTTTATTCTTCCGGACTAACTTTTACTCGTCTGACCTTCATTTATATTTGCTCTATAATTTGGGTTAATAATACATATAGTTCTAGCTCCTCAGTACTTCATCCGACAACTTCTGTTGCTTGAACATTATACTGACTTGTGGCTGCAAAAACCAGGGACAAAGTTGAAAGATTTCGTGGCCACTCTGCAGTCTGCTCACTTCCAATCCGACATTGCAAAACTCCGCCGCAATGTTGAGGATTATGCAAAGCAATTCCCCACAATTGGATTTGAAAAACCATGAAGTACAAGAACAGAGAAACAAACCTTGTCTGCGAGGTATATGATTAACTTCAACAAGCTAACTCATCTCTTCTACTAAGGTGAATTAATTAGTTGACATCTAAAACCCATTTATGTTCTTCCCCATTTGTAAAAAAACTGTTCCCATGAATTTTAGGTTTTCCATATTTGCAACAAACCATGGTTTTCTGTTTCTGTTCTTGTTGTCATGTTTTTTTGCTGACTATTCATCTGCTCGGAGCAGGTGTGCATGTGCCAGCATGAGTTTTTCCACTGGTGGAGGCGAAGGATGAATTAATAGCTATTATGGGTATTACATACATACATACTTAATCGACGCTTTGAAGCAATGAACCTGCATTGAGATAAAAAGTAGTTTCTTGTTACTGCCTAGAATTGTATTCATATGTTTGAAGGACTGAAGACAGCCAAAATGGTATCAGAAACAACAGGAACAAAACATAACTAATGATACGTGTTTTAGATATGATCTTCTGATTTTTTAAGAAATGATATAGGAACTAGGTACAAGCTTCTATGGATCCCTCGTTAAATCTGCTACAACTGGAAAGTTCAGTAACGAGTATATGAAAACCAATCATACTTTACACGTGGCAAACCGAACATAATAAAAAATCTTGGTCTCATCCCAAAAGTATCTTCCAAGATATTCTTGGTTATCCTCTAATCCAAGCAAAAGGGAAAAAACAGAATCAAAAGGTGAAAAATGAGAATTACGCGACACTATCCAAACGGGGTCCTATTGAAGACAACCTTAGTTGTAGTCAACATGCTCATGGCTACGTCACGCTTCTCTCTCTCCCGCTCCATCCATCCAATCCTAAAACGCACCCCTTTTTCTTCTTCTTATCCCCATTTTACCTCCAAGCATTTGCTTAAATCCCACCCTTGTCCTCTCTGGTCTTCATCTTTCTCCTTCTGCCTCCAGACTTTTCACCGCTCAACTTCTCCTTCTCTCTCTTCCTCTTCGTTTTCTTCTTGCTCTTCTCTCTCTCCTCCTTCAATGGCTTCTTCTGCGTCTGTTGATGAGAACATTGAGTCCAATCCTCTCTTGCAAGATTTTGACTTTCCACCTTTTGATGTTGTTGAAGCTAATCATGTCAGGCCTGGGATTCATGCCTTGTTGAAGAAACTCGTATGTTCTTTTGATCTTTTGGGCTGTTTTTATTTCTGGGTTTTGTTTTGTTTTTTTTTTTCCCTTGTTCTAGTGTTCAATATTGGGTTTTTCTTTTTGGGATCACTCGCTGGTTTTGGTTCTTGTTTGAGTTTCAAAATTTTGGTTGCCATGGTGTTTTATTTTTTGGGTTTTGGAGGGTTTCAAGATATTATTGCGTATTTGAAACTATTGACACTTTCTGATGTTCTGGTATCTAGGGTTTCTGGAGTTTGTATGTTTGATTTTAATATATTTTTGTTGGTTGAGTAGGAGAGTGATTTGGATGAATTGGAGAAGGCATTGGAGCCTTCATGGCCAAAGTTGGTGGAGCCATTGGAAAAGATTGTTGATCGGTTGACTGTTGTGTGGGGAATGGTTAATCATCTTAAGTCTGTTAAAGATACATCTGAGCTCCGTGCTGCCATTGAAGAAGTCCAGGTACATTTTTGTTGTCATTATGTTGTCTATTTTCAGACAGTCAAATATATAACAATATAACATACAATATGTATATCTATCTTTTGGACATCTAATATCTATCTCCTCTTGTCTCAGATGAAATCATGAATTCTTAGTTTATAATTTAGGAATAAATCATAGTTCATGCCACATGATATACTGGGAATTTACTTAAATTTCTTTCCTTTCTATTGATTGAGTCAGGATTATTGGTTTTCCTATTTGTTTTGGAGCAATTTGGTTTGGCAGTCATGTTCAAGTCCATCTTATTGTTTCTAGAGCTTAATTAGATATGCAGTGGCACGTTACTCGGAGTCTCTTTATTATAAACTTTTTGACCTTACTATGTTAAGCTTTTCCTTACAGCCTGAAAAAGTAAAGTTTGAACTAAGATTGGGACAAAGTAAACCCATCTACAATGCATTCAAGGCCATTCGAGAATCTCCTGATTGGTTGTCACTAAGTGAAGCTCGCAAACGTATTGTAGAAAGTAAGTATCTTTATTCGTTTATCTATATATATAATAAAATAGGGAGTTGTTGTTTCATTTTCATTTCAGTGCCTTAATTCAATGCTAGAACCTCAAACTTAATTTGGTTATTAGATGTTGGTCAATCCCTACAGCAAAGTCTAATAGTTTACTTGCTACAACAGACAAGAAGATGAAACTCCTGAAAAAGGAAAGGAAAACAAAAAAGAGAAACTTAAAATTTAGTGAGGCTGCATGTAGATATTGAAGATATAAAATTGATATCAGGATGACGTGCTTTTTCCATTCCTTTTAGTTTATATGAGTGTATGACCTGATAACTCTTTTTATTCTGTTGTATGTGTGCAGCCCAGATAAAGGAAGCTGTTCTTAAAGGTGTTTCTCTTGAAGATGATAAAAGAGAACAGTTTAACAAAATTGAACAGGTTTGATAATATTACTTGTGAAGTTAAAGTAACATAAATTTACTAGATGTCATACTACCGGGCCATTCTATCTTTCGAAGTCAAATTAGTAAAATGAGGAGAAATTAATTAACACAAGTTTCATTTGAAGTTCTTGGCATACGGTTTCTAAACTTTCATTCCTATCTTCTATGGATATTTTTCCTATAAAGTATAGCAAGTATGGAAATCTGAAAATAACCATATAGTGATATAAATGTTATGCTCAATCTTGTCATGTTCATTCCTTACTATTTACTATGAGCTAATTTGCAGGAGCTGGAGAGGCTGTCTCAGAAATTTAGCGAGAATGTTTTGGATGCCACAAAGAAGTTTGAAAAGCTGATAACAGATAAGAAAGAAATTGACGGTTTGCCTGCAACTGCTCTTGGGTTAGCTGCCCAAACAGCAGTTTCTAAGGTTTTCTTTTAAAAAATTCAGCATATGTTTGCATTTATTTATGATTTCTCATTGTCAAGCCTAGCGCACTTTACTTTGTGTTTTTTGGCCATGTGATATATGTTATCTTTTGGTTCTCACCTAGGGGCATGAAAATGCAACTGCTGAGAATGGGCCATGGGTAATTACATTGGATGCTCCAAGTTTTATTTCTGTTATGCAACATGCTCGTAACCGTGCTTTGCGTGAGGAAGTCTACCGTGCTTATGTAACTCGGGCATCAAGTGGTGACTTGGATAATACACCAATCATCAATCAGATATTGAAGCTTCGTTTGGAAAAGGCTAAGCTTCTCAATTACAATAACTATGCTGAGGTATGAATCCAGAGCATCTACAAGAATGCATCCTTTTCATTGGCTGACCGAAGCATATTTGATCAGGTAAGCATGGCAACCAAAATGGCTACTGTTGATCAAGCTGAAGAACTTTTAGAAAAGCTTCGGAGTGCTTCCTGGAATGCTGCTGTCCAAGGTATTGTGCTAGATATAGTTTCTTATTGGGTACAAAAGATTACAGTCTTTTGATCTGTAATTTATCATGTGAAACCTTCTCCTTAGAACTTGTTATGTATGATATTTTTTATTCTTGATATCTGAAAGTTCAATTTTAACTTGCAAAACTGTTTTGTTGTTAGGAACACATTAATAAACTAGCTTATTTTAAATGAAACACTGCTCACTGCAATTAATTTTTGTGTCAATTGTATTACTTGCTATCTGATTTGACCATGCATAAATTCACCTTGATGCTGTGCACAAGTTTAAGGCATTCTCAGAAAGGTTGCTTTTTCTTTGATGCAATTTGAGAACATGATTTTCCCCAAGCTCACTATGTCTTGCTTTCCTCTTTCTCTTAAACATATCCTGTCCAATATTTTCATTCTTAATGCAAGCTTTTCTATACAAAGATACATGGGAAGAAATTTTAAGCATATGATCCTTTCTGGTCCTTGCAGATGTTGAAGACCTAAAAAGTTACTCTAAAAGCCAAGGTGCATCAGAAGCTGATAATTTGAGCCATTGGGACATCAACTTCTGGAGTGAGAGGCTTCGTGAGTCGAAATACAACATCAATGAGGTTGACTCTCTCTCTCTGTTTGCTAATTAAATCATAACTTCAAGACCTCAGTTTTATGTGAAGAAAATCTTTCCTGATGCAAAAATTGTACAGGAAGAACTCCGGCCATATTTCTCATTTTCAAAGGTTATGGATGGCCTTTTCAACCTTGCTAGGACACTTTTTGGGATTGATATTGAGCCGGCTGACGGTCTAGCTCCTGTAAGTATTTCCTTGGTTCATCTACACTTTTCTTCACTGCCTATTAGATAGAATATTAATTTTACATCCTACTAATTTTTATTGTTTTAAAGGTTTGGAACAAAGATGTTAGGTTCTACCGTGTCAAAGATTCTTCAGGTAGTCCAATTGCCTATTTCTATTTTGATCCATACTCTCGTCCATCAGAGAAAAGGGAAGGTGCATGGATGGATGAGGTTGTTTCTCGAAGTCGTGTACTGTCACGTAATGGTACCACAGCAAGGTTGCCTGTTGCCCACATGGTGTGCAATCAAACACCACCCTTCGGGGACAAGCCAAGCCTCATGACATTCCGTGAAGTAAGTTGAAGACATTGGTTTAAGCATAATGCTAATGCTTATAAAATCTTGTATTCTCAATGATTGGAACTGGAAGCTAAGGTAACAACAGGGAGCAACCAGGTCCGGAAACCTAGAGTTTTAAACCAACTGGAACCTTTCCCTATTCCTTTCCATCCCTAGTAGTGCTTCTGATCTTATCCCCAAAAACTAACATTTCGAGCCACCTAAGCACTGTGCTTTCATATTAATATTATCAGTTAAAGCAGCCTCATATGAAGTTGCTCTTAGTAACATTTAAGCTAAAAGTACCGGTATGATACTCCTTGATCAAATTTGATCATAGCTCATACTTTTTAAGTGTAAGCATATTTAAACAGAATGCTTTTTCAAAAGGCATGATGCATAAGTGATTATCGTTTAGAATTTATTAGATTAAAAAGCATAGCTCTAGTACATGCTTTTGAATAAAAACCCATAATAGGAACATGCATCGGTGTGCTAGACTTCCTGGTTCTAAAAGAGCCTAATCTCCAATAATATTTTTGTTTAACTCAGGCCAGATGCTGGCTGAGAGGATGAACATTTGTATGTTTGTCTGATCTTGGATCTTGCTTCCAGAGATTTTGGCTTTATTCTATCTTATGGTGTTTGCATTTGTGATTTCGTGGAATAAGATAGGATATACTTTTGTCCTGATATGTTTCCCTGAAACTTCTGGATTTTCAAAGTGGCTGCTATAAATTTCCCCTGTAGACTGATGGTATTTCATTTTTCAGGTTGAGACCATCTTCCATGAATTTGGCCATGCACTTCAGCATATGCTAACCAAGCAAGACGAGGGTCTAGTTGCTGGCATTCGTGGGATTGAGTGGGATGCTGTTGAGTTGCCCTCTCAATTCATGGAAAATTGGTGTTACCACAGGTTAACATCTCCGACAACCAAAATCTATATCTTTTTGATTCAGACTAGAGGATACAATTCCTTTTTGTTGCTAAAAGAAATAAAATCGGATGTACATGCATGTAGAAAATATGCAAACAAGGCCCTATGGCTTAGTAGTGCAGCCCCTATATTTATTGTATATTATATGGCTTCTTGTTTGTGGTTTCTGGCTTTATGCAGCTCTTTAATGTTTTTACTATGTTTGTGGCTAATCATATTGCATTGGATCATAATATTATGATGTGACAATGGGTTAGGAGAAGACATGTCTATTTGACTCTCATGACTGTGAAGATTGAGGTTATTTGATCTTTTTGTTCTCATTATTTTGTGGCCTGCAGGCAGAATCATGGACAAACATCAAAATTTTCTGCATTCTCTAATTAGTTTGTCTGAATATATTTTCCATCTCCTCATGTTTGAATATTACCATTATTATCATGTGTATTTCATTTTTCAAATCAATTATAACTTTCATTAAGTAGTTTTTTATTTAAATTGTCTTTTGTTTGCTTCAGAGATACATTAATGAGCATTGCAAAGCATTATGAAACAGGGGAGAGTCTCCCTGAAGAGGTATATTTGAGGCTTCTTGCTGCAAGGACTTTCCGTGCTGGTTCTCTAAGTCTTCGTCAGGTTAGTTGAACTTGTTCCACCCTTCTCTCACTTTTGGGGTATGTATTTCTGCAGAAACAATGTGTTTCCTGAGGATTTCTTTTGGTGAAATATAAGCCTACCCCTTAATATATGAAGGGTACCTTGTGAGGGCTCCGTAGCTCCATACCTACATGTTCCCTCCTCTGTCCTTTTCTTCCTCTTTTTGTCCTTTTTGCTTACCTATCTCTTCCTCCAACTCTAGTATCAAGTATTGAACATTATAGCGACAGTTCTAGCTTGTAGTTGGCTGTAGAAAAAAAAAAAAAAGATCTATTTTGGAATGATAATGGAAAATCTTGTTCGGACACCATCCATGTTTTTAAGATTAAAGAAGGTATTTCTTGTCTATGAAAAGCTCATAGACTGTGACAGAAATGTGTGGTGTAAAATGATTTTAATGGACATCAGCTGTAACTTTCATAATATGTTTAAACCATCTTGTGTGTCTCTATGTCTGTTTCTTGAAAACTCCATAATTCTGTATGTTGTCTTGTTCTGATGATAGGTGATTGTAATTTTTGAGTGAGTGGGTTACTGTTTGCTCTAGTATTTCAATTTTGAATGGTTGATAGATCATTTCTAACTGTTTTCCTTCTCCAGCTTCGATTTGCTTGCGTAGATTTGGAGCTACATACAAAATATATACCAGATGGGTCAGAATCTGTTTATGATGTTGATCAGAGAGTTTCCAGAAAAACACAAGTGATCCCCCCATTGTCAGAAGATAGGTTCCTTTGTGGTTTCAACCATATATTTGCAGGTTTGCTCCCTTTTTTTTCCATCTCCTGTTCTCTGGTCTTCCCCCATATGTACTTTTTACTACTATTTTGGTGCAAACTTCACCTAGGACATTTTTTAATTTGTTGATTTTTGTGGATATCAGGCGGATATGCTGCTGGATACTATAGTTACAAGGTATATTTTATCTTTATCTAGGCTATTTCTTAGAAAACTACTGCAGAAATATGTTTGAAATGTTTGTGGGTGGAACCAGCTACATTGGCAATCTGAGAGACCTCTGAGAGACCGTGTGAATAACTTATGATCTTTCTCCCTCTCCTTTTCCTCATTTTCTCTCTGCAGCCTACTTTTGCAGCCTAGCTTGTATCCTGTGATCTTTTTATGAACTTTGGGCATGATTTGTATCCTTGTTTTTCCTTTTCTTTCCTTTTCCTTTGCCCTCGGCTATGCAATCTAAAATCCGAAATGCATATTTTGCAGTGGGCAGAAGTATTGTCTGCAGATGCTTTCTCAGCATTTGAGGATGCTGGATTGGAAGACAGCAAGGTATGGTGGTTAGAAAAGCTGTTCAGGATTGGTTTTTACTATCTTTCGTTCTCTTATATTTTTTTCCTGTTATATTGTATACATCAAGTAAAACCACCAAGTCAATTTCACCCCCTCCTCCCTCTTTCCCTTCTTTGTGCTTTGTGTAAATCTTACCAAGTTTTATGGCTGTGCCTACAATTGGTGAGCCATGGCTCCTAATAAAAGATTCAACAAAATGTTCACTTGCACTATATATGCACAACATGGTCATTACATGCAATTCCTCATTTAGACTGCTGATTGTGTTGCATACAGTGCTTCTTCTGTGTTTCCCTTCGAGTCAAAGCTTGCTAAAACAAATTTTTGATCCTGTTATTTTTAATGGTCTTTTTTTTTTTTTAAAAGAAAATCGATGATCCATTTTGTCTAATTGTATTCCAACAGGCTGTTAAAGAAACTGGCCACAGGTTCCGAGAGACCATTCTTGCTCTGGGAGGTGGAAAAGCACCATTAGAGGTCAGTAATTGTACATTGACATTCCTATTTGTGAAAATTTTTAATTATATTTTCTTTTTGTTTCCTTTTCTCAGCAACTTTTCAATAAGAGAAACACCCGTTATGTTTTGTATCTTTAGCTTCTCATCAATTCAACATTAAGGTGTTTGTTAGACACTGAGACTTGTAACGTAGAGACTAGAGTGCTTCCATTGAATCTTCTTAACATAAGATGATGTACTTGCATCCAGGTCTTTGTCGAGTTCCGTGGACGCGAACCTTCACCAGAGGCGTTGCTGAGGCACAATGGATTGTTAGCAGTCACAGCCTGAGCGTCAGCTGTTCTTCAGTTGCCATTTGCAGTTATAAAAGAGACATGCAAAGCAAGTTTTCTAGGTCATTTAGGTTTCTGTTATACAACACTTTTGTGTTTAATTCAGCTCGTCAAACCATTTTTTTCTAGTCACAAAAGGAAAACACAACCCCTCCAAGTTTTTTAATCTGGAATTTTCTTTGGAGTTGATCTCTTCTGGTGAAATATTTTCAGATTCTGCCTCTCTTATCTGTTTATGATAATTTGTTCACTTTTATAGCAAAATAATAAAAAAAAAAAGTGTTGGTAAATGCACCCCATCCTTTTCTCTTCGTACTCTAGGTGTTTTTCTTTTTTTTTTTTTTGTGTGAATGAAATTATTTAATAATTTTTCTCTGTCAAACAAGTTATCGGAAAGTCTTAAAGGTGTCAAAATATTCAGAAAATTTTTAAAGGTTTTGAAAATTTATTTCTGGAAGCGTTGAATCGTATCAAAATAGTTTAACATGAAATCATGTGACATGTTAAATTAAACGAGAAATCATATGAAAAAATTAAAAAAACAAACGATGTATTTTTGATTTTATGTTTTTTATATTTTAAATAAGTGAAATTTTTTATTTTTTTTTATAACCTTTTAAAAACTTCAAATCATTTATCTTTTTTATTTTTTTGTCTTTTTTTTTTCATAAAATTTTGTACTAAAATATTTTAGTGCGTTTCAAAATTTTGAAAAATAAAATTTCAAAATGTTTTCAAAGTTCTTTAAAATAAATGTTTGAAAGCTTTTAAAAATTTATTTTTGAAAAGTTACATGATTTTTTGAAAATTTATTTTTGAAGAAGTGTATTTTTTTGAAAATTTATTTTCAAAAATTTGTATGAAAAAAAGGAATTAAGTAATTTTATTTAAAATAATTAAAAAAAAGGCTATGAAGTGATATGATTGGTGTACATTTAAAAACACTAAAAAAAAAGTGTTTACCATGTTTTCTCTTTTTTTTTTTTGCAAAAAATAATAAAAATTAAAAAAATTAAAGAAAAACAACATTAACCAAAAGAGTCCAAATAAACATTACAGTTAAATATACAAAATCATTATGAATGATGATGGCTTGCCTTGAAAGAGAGATTAACTGTTTTTTCACAAAAAAAAAAAAAGAAGAATTCTTCAAGTTAATGAGCGCGTGCGCTTTCGTTTTATTGTTTAACTGCCAATTTATTTAAAAAAATACGAAAGTAATTTTGCATGAGTTCATTAAATTTGATATAAATAAATTATTTCATTGTTTGAATTTGGATTATTTGGAGGGTATGAAAATAAATTTTTATGAATTCATTAAATTTAACATAAATAAATTATTTAAATCAATGTGACAAAAAAAATGATATTTAACAAAATTTACAAAAAAAAAAAAAAAAAGTCTAACTGGAAAAGGAAAACCTGCCACTTATAAGTCCACAACTAAAACCAACCAACCTGGGCCCAATTTTATTGTACCAAAAGAAAGGTTCTTTTATTTTCTATTTTAATAAAATTTAAAACAAAATATCAACGAAAAAACCGAAATTGGCGGGGGAGGAAGATCTGTAAAAATCGGCCATCTTTTTCGGATAAAAAAGGAGAAGGGAAAGAAATGGCAAGAGCAGGAGGGATAACGAACGCCGTAAACGTAGGGATAGCTGTGCAAGCCGATTGGGAGAATCGCGAATTCATCTCTCACATTTCCCTCAATGTTCGTCGCCTCTTCGAATTTCTCCTACAATTCGGTATAATTTACTTCTTTTTTCTCTTAATTTTAAAATTTCAATTTTCTATTATTACCTTTTTTTTTTTTCAAAATTATTAATTATTTGTATGTTTGAAGAGGCTACCACGAAGAGAAAATTGGCATCATTGAACGAGAAACTGGATACCCTGGAACGCCGTTTGGAGCTTCTTGAAGTTCAAGTTGGAACTGCTTCCGCTAACCCTTCTCTTTTCAGTACGTGATTCCAATTTTTAATATTGTATTTGTTCCCTTATCTTTGTCGTGATTCTGTTAGTTTCCGACATTGTAGAAATCAGAGTTTTCTTCTTTTTTTGTCTATATATAGTAACCTTGTTGATTGGTGAATTTTGTTGTTTGTTTCTTTCGAATCTGTCGTGTTTGTGGGACATTATTATCTGCTGTTAAAAATTTCAATGTTTCATCTTTGCCTTCGGTCCTTTTAACCCTTCTTGATTGCTTTTTTTTTTTTGAGAGAGAGAGAGAGAGAGATATTTTTGGGCTTTTTTCCTTCAATAGCTTGGATTGTAGCCTAGAGTTAGCCAATGTTACCTCCAAAAACGACGTCTAAAAGTTCAAATCTTCGTTTCCTTTTTAACAATCAAAACATAGATATAAAGATTGGAACTTGACATCTTTGAGAAGGATGCTGAAGTGCTTGGCCGCTGAAAATTGCGACTCCTGCCTTGATGGACAATGGCAAAAATAAAGTTATTGCTGATGCTGAAATGAGGTTGTTTATCTCCTTAACTAGAAGAAAACAAATTTGTGGGTTGGAGTGGATCGTAGATTTGAATGTTATCAAGGGAAAGGAAAGAGGCTTTCTTTCTTTTCTTTTTAATAAAAAGAAAAACAAGTTTTTAGTTAGCTCCATGGTTGTGTTAAAATAGTCACTTCCACCTGAAATTAAGAGCCATTTCACTTCATGTAACCCATTTCGCTTCATGTAGGACTCTTTCTGCTTTGTTAGTCTGCTCAAGGTCAAGGATATTGAATAGATAACTAAAATGGCTGCTTTTGGCTCTCTTAGTCATCAGTTCATCCATCTTTGTAATGGTTATCCCATTTCCAATATGAACTGTTAGATGTTCAAAAGGTTTCTTGTATGTTAAATAATGTCAATATAAACATTTTAAGGGCAATTGCTTTAATATCCCCTGTAGTTGAGTTCTCAGTCTTGACTGAGGATTCATATTGCAAGATGTCTATTCTTAAGCATGGTAAGTCATCAGTTGCTTAACAGTTAAAAAGTTTAAATATGGTGGTGTAAGTATATAACTTAGTAACACTAAAATCATCGATCAGATAATTATAGCTTAAATCATCTGAACTGTCTAGATTGGTGTTGCATCTTTCGCCTAACTACATAGTGGGAGTGGTTAATAAAAGAAGATGCAACAACTTGGCTAATTACCCAGGCAAAGTGAGGAAGGGAGGGGAGGAAGCGGGGAATGTGTATTAATGCAACATTAAAGGTCTGCTGCAATAGTAAATACTTAAACTTCAAAATAAATGGAATAGATGAAAGTGCATAGTCTTACATTGAAAAAGCATGGAATAATCATTCCTGTTAGCCGATTGTCATTTTTATCTTGATAAACATCACATCCACCCATCTTTTATCTTGGCTCTGGAGGAGCCAATGCTTGTGTGTTAATTGGTGAGGGTTCTGATGCAGTTGGGATAGGTGGTAAAACTGTCTTTTTTTCCATAACTATTGAGAAGCGATTGGACCCTCCCAAACTATATATGCTGTCTATGGACTTCATGTATTCTGATGCATTGTTCTCTATGATCAAAGCATCCTCCAGCTCTCGAACGATGTCAGCCATACATGGTCGATAAGCAGAAAAGGGCTCAATACATGCCAATGCCGCCTCAACTACCCTCCACATTGCCTCGGCATGGTACCCTCCCTTTATATTAGGGTCGACAATTTCATCAATCTTTGACTCCCTTATATAAGGTTTTGCCTGCATGGGAAGGTGTTTCTTTGTTACTCTCTTTTTCTTGCCTTTGGTTGAATAATAATAAGAAATTTCTAATATAGGAGAGGTGTCTGTTCAACAATCTAGAAATGAAAAAACATGAGATCAGATGATACCCATTCAACCAAACTCCATTCATTCCGTGGCCTGTGTATGTTTAAAGGCTCCCTTCCACTTATAATTTCAAGTAGAACCACACCAAAACTGAAGACATCACTTTTTGCAGATAGATGCTGGGTTGAATAATACCTGAATATCAACATAAATTTTTAGGCTTCTTGAAATTTTTTTAAAGAGTAAGTAGGCAGTGGCTAACATTTTTGTTTTATGGTTAGATTGACCATAGTTTGTGTACTCAAGTTGCTTCTAAGGAAACAGATTAGTTCAACAAAATCTAAAATAGGTAGGAAACATTGATTCTTACTCTGGATCCATGTATCCTGCGGTGCCTCTTACTTCAAGGGAAGCATTGCTGTCTCCTTCTTGAGGGGCATATTTCGAAAAACCAAAGTCTGCTACCTTAGCACACATGGTATTGTCCAAAAGTATGTTGCTTGATTTTACATCCCTGTGTATAACGCCCGCATAGGTATGAAGATACATCAAACCTGAAAAATGGGAAATGCTCATTAGACACTTCAGTAGGATCAATATTCTTATTTTGTTGTTGTAGAGAAAAATCATATATCATTAATAGCTGAGCATCTTGAGTTTCTTACCTCTAGCGGCACCAAGAGCAATGGAAAGCCTGGTTGGCCAGTCCAAAATTTTCCGTTTTGCTGCTTCCCCTATTAATTAACTGATGATCAGAGAGTGATGAACAGCATACAAAATAAAATAAGGGTTTCTGGTGATAAGTACCGTAGAGTCTATCTTGCAGAGAGCCATTGGACATAAAAGGATAAACAAGGATTTGTTGGTCATTTTCACTGCAATAACCTAGAAGAGGAACCAGGTTCTCATGCCGAATAGCCGAAAGAAGGTTTAGCTATAAATATATTGAAAATAGTTAGCAATTTGCATATCTTTAACATGTATTGAAGCCATAGATGGAAGATTCTAAGATGACAATTTATGGATAAAGACGTTTACCTCATTCTCGAATTCCCGAGTTCCTTGAGTTGAGGTAGCTGATCGGACCTTCACTGCAACTTCCTGGCCATCAGGTAGAGTACCTCGGTACACAGATCCAAAGCCACCTTCACCAATCAAGGTTTTGTACTTTTGGGTGGCAATCTCAATATATTCTAGAGTGTATGTCTGTATAGATATTGACCTAACAAAAATTTCATCTGTGCTAGGTATGGAGAACACCAAATCTGCATTTTCAAAGATCTTAGGTAAATCATTCACTTTTGACTGAACGTAATACACACTAGAGAAATGCTTCAAAATCACTGAAAACATTTATATTAGCTTCTTGGAAATGGATTAAAGGGATTAATGAGTAAAGAAAGAGTGGATTTACTCACTCTTTGCCATGGGGAGTCGTTTCCCATTGTATTTTCTCCTAGCCATTAGTTTTTGTCTGTAAAGGCAAACAAGAACGGCTCCAAGAGCAACAGTAACCACAGCAGATCCACATGCAGCAGCACCAATGACAATTCCTTTTGTTGGACCACTTGATTTCTGGGGACATGCTCCATAGCTGAAATATTGATGCAAAACATCAGTTCATTTTCTTTTAAATCTTCCATTGTTCTTCAAAGTCATAGAAAATGGATTAGTTCCTTACTCAGTAGTTAGTTTTGAGCTATTCAAGCCAGATGGAAGGTCATTGTCAAGTTGAGGATTGCATCCATAGTATCTGGGGAAGAAATGACATGATTAGTGAGCTATATATTCATAATTTCTACCAGATAATAGCTAGTTTCATGGCACAATATAAAACTTTCTGTAAGAAACAACTCACAGTGTACTCAAGTCCGGAAGTGAGATAAGAGACTCTCGTAGAGATCCCTCAAGTTCATTGTTTCTTATATCCCTGAAAGTTAAATGTAAATCAATCAATATCTGATGCATAAAACTTTATAGAGAAGAAATTAATATGGTTCGGAATGTGGTAAGCAAGTAGAATAGATAATAGTCTTTCAAATTAAGAGAAGATTACACTGATGTCAAATTGGAGGATGATGGGAATGTTGGAATCTCGCCACTGAAGTCATTGTTGCTCAGGTTCCTATGAGGTCACAATCAATTGTAAGAATACAGGATAGAGAGTAGATAGTACCTAAAACAATAGCAAAGAGCATGGAGATCATACAATATTTTCAGGTGGGTCAGATTTGTGATACTTGGAGGAACTGGCCCATGAAATTTACTTGAAGAAAGATCCCTGAAATTATATAATAATAAGGAACATAGTCATAAGAACATAGGAATTAAGTGGAAGAGCTGTTATCAATAAAATAAAGGAAGTGCTATATCTTGAAGGGAAGAGTATAAAATCTTACAGATCTGTGATGACTGTGGAACCATTGACGGGGTTGCAGGCCAGACCTTGCCAGGGATCAGGAAGGCATGGGTCTCCTGACCAAGCTTCCAATAAGGCATTCCCTTGGTCAGCCATTAACAACTCCTCTTTTACCTTCTTTATCACAATCACTAAGTAAAAAGAAATAAGTAAGAATCTTGATTGCTAGATAAACTGTGAAGCATAAACATTTAGAATTAAACTTGAACATTGAGAAAAGAATAAAAATGGAGACAAAAATTTGTTAGATTTACCATCATTGTAATCTGTCTGTTGATCCCTTGGGCGCACCTGCAAGATCTCAAGGGCATTGCAAATGGGTCCAAGTTCAGATCCATTTGATACCTTAACCAAGGTCAAATTCAGAGACCCATTAGCTGTTACATTGAAAACAGCCTCTCGATAGTTTGATCCGTTTGCCAATATATCAAAATTCTCCCCTTTCCTCTCATTGTTGATGTAAATATCAAACATCCTTTGGCCAATTCTTGTAACAGTGTCATTGAGCTCAAGAAAGTAGAGAATCACAGTGTAGTTGTAGTCTCCATCATCAATGTCATTTTGCAGGAACTCCAATCGTTTTAAATCTGTAACAGCTGTTTGTAGAACTTTGAGGGGCACTGTTGTATTACCATAGTTGTGGATCGTAACAGGGGAGTTGGCTGTTAAGTAAAGACTTGATGCGGGTTTCCAAATTCTGTCATATCTGTCTTCTGGGTACCTGAAGTTGGCAAATACGCTTAATAACCAGAATTTGCAACTTGATACTCTATTTCCACTGATTCATAACCGTAGTAGCACTTGTTTCTTTATGGTGAATAACATGATTAATCATTTATCTCTTTTACACTTGTGCTTTGTGCATGTTGATTGTGCTCTGTGCCATCCTAAAGGTTAACTACGCAATCAAAATGGTGCCTTTTTCCTGCTTTTATGTCCTTTAAAGTATTCAGCTTCTAGAATCATTTTACTGTTTTATTTGCTGAGACTAATCTTATCATACTTGTTTATGGGTTTTAAGGTTATAGAAATCATATACCTGGTCTCTCCAGTGCCTCCTAGATCAGTTCTGTTAACCAGCTTCAGAATATCGGATGATTTATCCTTTAGATACTCTGAATCATTCAAAGGCCTTAGTTCGATACTCGATATGTAGGGATCCCCTTTTTCATGCACTAAGCAGAAGTCAGTATAGCTATCAGTAGCTCTGAAAATTCCCTCCACCACCAAGTCCTCCGAAGAATTCACCAGGCCGAATGGTGTGACATCAATTGAAACACTAAATGAAGAGTCAAACTGAGCCCCCTCTGTTTCACCAACAGGGAATGAACCCGTTATCAGATAGTCTTGATCTTTAATTGTCGGTAAGCTATAACATCTTTTCCCTGATTCAATGTCAAAAATTCGAGCTCTTTCATTTCCCTGATTCAAGTCCTTGCAACTTTTTCCGTCGGTAAACCATCGATCATCAGGTGTCCACTGTAGACTATTATTATCTGTAAAACTTGATTTTGCACAGCATGCTATGCGCAAGAAACCTGCAAATGTTTATAGCTTAGACCATCAAATTTGGTCAATATTAACCTCAGGCTGAAAGAATTGAGAAAAGAGTTGAATCCTATCAGAACATGTAACTAAACGGATCATTTCATTTCAGTTTCACCAATTAGAACAACAGATCTGCCTTTATTGATTAATAACATCATGTGGAACTTGTTAATTTCCATTTTAATGTTTGATCCAGGTTGTCCAACCTATATTCTGACAAAACATTCCACAGACAAGATCAACCTAGTTGACTGTTTCTCGAAGGATAATCAGATTTGAGAGTTACTAACACAATCTATATCTTTCAGACTATGCAATGAGATTAAGACTCATTCTTTCCTCTACTAAGTTTCAATTAAGATTCATGAAAAATATTTGATTTCATCAAACATTATGTAACAAATTTGGTTCAAGTCCTATAACAGTGTCATACAAGAGCATGGTCAAGAGTTTTTGTCTGATATGTGATGAATGGTAGAACAAAATATGTTGTGATACTAACCTTGTGCTGTAGTTGTTGAAAGAAGATTGAAGAAACAAAGGATAAATAACACAAAACATCTTAATATCCAATAAACCAATTCTTCCATCATCATCTCATCTTAAATCGAAAACGCCCCATGTCGGGTTATCAAAATCATAATCAAGCCAACCAAGTTCTCAGACTTGCACCAACTATTTGGCTAAGCCTTCTGAAAACCAAGAACCGAACCATTTTTTAAACTAGCTGTTTTTCTATGCTTTTGATGATGAAAGTATCTGAATTAACCTAATAATTCGGATCAAAACGACGTGTTCCTCTTGACGATCATTGAACCATTGAAACTTATCAAAAGTCCTAACGATTTTTCTCATACATGGGGTGATAACAAATGACATACAAATGAAAACAAGGGTAGAGGTAGGAAAAGAGGTTGATGATACAGGTTTGACTTCAAAATGTGAAAAGCAGAGGAGCTTAGTTTGCTAAGAAAGAAGAATGAATAAGAATAATACAAAAGTTGATTATCAAATTTATGTTAAAATATTGGTAGTAATTAACTAGTATTATTAATTGTTTAAATTTGTTTTGGTGGTGGATGGTCATCAATCTCATCTTCGTCTGCCTCCGTCTCTCTTCTTGTCTATTACCCCATGGAGGCAACATCACGGAAAAATAGGCCATTGGCTACTCTAGTATTAAAAAAACCATCCAATAGAGTTAGCTTAAAATTTTTTTAAATTCAAATATTACCTTTAAATTGTACAAAAATAAATAGTATTGTTAAGGGTATTTTTGGATCTAAAGGACAAATTGATTATTTTTTTCCTTACATATTATCAGTAAACGGTCAGAGGTTTTTTATTTTAGGTTAATTTAATATATCAAATCGACTTGAAATATATAATATCACGTCAGTTCGGTTTTTGTCACTATTTTATCTTATAGATTCTTCATCTTCTGTCTATAAATAGAGTCATCTAAGTATTATTTATTCATCTTACTTTCTTCTATTTTTTTTTTTATTTTTCACTTTCCTTTCGATTTCTTACAATCGATTTCTAACTTGACATCGAAGTGCAAACGCAAAAAATATTTTCTACTTTTGCTCTTAATTACTTTTTTTTCTTATGTGATTTCAGGGTTTTCACCGTCCGCTTGAAGCTCGGCACCAACAAGCATAAAGCAAATAATATTCGGATAAAACTTAGACAAAGGAAATGAATTATTGTTATTGTGATATACTATAATTCAAATACAGTGGTTTTAGATAACAATAAAACCGTAAGTTTTATCATTCATGAAAGCTATACATGAATGTATATTTGATTCAGCTAACTCGGTCAGATGTAGGTAATTCTAATGCTCAAACCAATTAAAATAAAACTGTCAATTTCCACAAACGTGTAAAGACAATTATGATGAGTTGTAATCCTTTTTAGCAGAATTAAAAGCTATGTTTTATAGATTGGAGGATTGGGATCTCCCTCAGATCAGATGTAGTGTTTCTACATGGTCAAATATATCCTGCTCAAACACAACATTGTTGAACCAGTTACCATCACAGTTTTAGTAAAAAAAATTTCTTTTTTTCTTTGAAATCAGCCACATCCTGAAGTTTCATGGAAGACAGGAGAATATTTATATCAGTTGTTACAGCTAACATTATTAGTTTAAAACCATTGTCTTAATATTCTAGATGAATAAAATTGACGTATACCTGCAATTCGATCATAGGAGGTCATCAGGTTTATTTGGTCATACTAAGATGTTTGCAGACTGCCAGTTGCCAATGACCATATTATTCTAAACACTTTCTTTTAAGAAGGGTCAAGACCAATGTTTGGCTCAAACCTTTGCATGTATGTTTTAGGTTATAAGATTATTTTATGATCATGAACCAGTTACCCTAAACCCATGCACTTTAACTATAAATGATAGAACCAAGGTTTCATCCAGTTAGTAATTACCCAGGATTAGGCTATAAGATTGGTATTCCTTGAATATATTTTGATAATATTTTAGGTATGACTCTGCATAACCCCTCTTTCACACTTTGATAGTGATTCCAAGTAATAGTTAAAAGTAGAAAATGTCATCCTTTAGAAATTATTTTATGATCGTGAATTCCATTCGAAGTTGGGAGAGACTTGAATTGATCAAATTTACCTTAATGCACACGATTGTTTCTGTCACTCAAGGAACATGTCAAGGGCAAGTGGGTCAACCCTGTGTATCAGTTCAAAATTTTGGTTAAACCAATTAATGTGCTGGTTAAATAAGATTCTTTTGCAAATCCATCCAGTCAGACAAGGCCAAAAACTTGGATGATTGGTTAGATTTTTTTGAGTTTAAATTTAGAATAATAAAAAAGTTTGCTTCCTGATAATCCTGGCAGCATACTTCTATACGCTCTTGATTTGTTTACTGATATAAAGGAAATACAATTCTTTGCTAAAGCCGCCTGTCACCCTATAACTATTTTTAAGTATATTATCATTAAAAGCTCGGATTCTTTGTTTTGTCAAATTGATCTGAATAATATAATCAACTTTGTGAAATCATGCTCAAGTTTGTTAGCCTGTTTCCAGTGTGTTAGTTGAAGGCATATTCGAAGCATTAAACTTTGTCTATAGCTGATACATATGCCCAAAATTAGCAATGACTGGCTTCTGTTATTAGATTTCCCATTTTTAATACCTAATCAAATGGGTAATACAACTATCAAGCAATGGTTTATTTTCCAGGAACTCTTGCAAGAGTACTGAAGCCTTTTGTAATTGGCCTGTAACAATTTGGCAGGATAGAAGCCAAGCTGATATTATGTAATTCATGCCAGCAGCATGTAGCCTTTTTGGTATAAAAAAATTTCTTCTAAGGATATGGAGGTTAGATTTGTCACAAGAATAAGTATATATCTCTGCTGGTTTTTGAGAATTATATGATCAGTGAGCCTTTGTTAGAAATGAATAAGCAAATTTCACCCCCCATAGGTGTATTGTAAGCAGATATAATGTTAGATTGGTCTTAAACCAATCAGTTCAAGTGTTATAATTGAATGGTTGACTAAGACAAACCATGAACCTTCAGTTTTTCTTATTTTTATTGTAACTGAATATTGTTTACTTTTGCCAGAGTATTGGCAAAGGAAATTTATGTGCTAAAACAATAAGAGGAACAAAAGTTTGCTCCTCTGCAAAAATAAAATAAAAAATTACTTCTAACAACCTTTTTATAATATTGATTATGAAAACCAAAAATCAACTTTCTTTTCAGCTGATTAGAGCAGAAAATCTAGTAATTTGAAGGCTTTTCAGTTGATTAGAGCAGATAATCTCTTTAGGTGGTATCCATAAGCATGATTACAAATCCAATAGCAGAGAAACAAAGAAAGAAAATCTCAATCCATTTTGTGCTAAATAAAATGTTTGTTAGGCATTCCTCTGTGATTTTCCCTACTTCCATTCACAATGAAATGGTAGATCAAAGAAAATCCTATAGAAGCGATCCGACATAATATTTTAAGGAAAAATTTCTCACTTGAATATATCAATACTAAAAATATACAGATGAATTTCAGACTTGGATCATATGGTAACAGCCTAGCCTATCCTATCCAATCAAAACAATTTCTCTGGTCTAATACTGAATAACAACAGTGAGGGTTGGAGTTTTGGACAGTTAGATAAAAGGGTTTGATTTCGGTATCATATCAAGGAACTTGTTAGAAGAACTCAATAAGTTATACTTTGATTTTGGATAAATGGCAACTTTATTTATCCCTCAAACAGAGTAAAAGAACCTGCTACCAATAAAACTGTGCAAGCTATATCATCGACTTACATCAACAAAAAACAAAGGTAATCTAAGTTATATGTACAGAAAAAAGGTTTACATATCTTCCAGTTGTGACAAAGACAAAAATTCCCAGCTACATCCACCTGATCCAAGCCACTTAAACCGGACAGCAGTAAGAATGAAGTGGAATTCTGACCAATGACCATGCTTCCTGATATTTATGTTCATATAAGATGAAATAGATGTGAGCATTCCAAGCAATTTTAAGCGGATTTCCTTTCAGTGGGTTGATCCTCGTAAACTTCCCATTCCAGTCGCCAACTGGTCTGATCAAGTCAGAAAACTTCAAAACTGTATTCCAAAGGAATTACATGAATAACATAGTGCTATCTAAGAACTAGCCATGTAACAATGAAAAAACGTGCTATGAAAGCGAAGATGTCTGCATAGCCTATTTCGTATGGAACCAAGAGGTGCTTTGAGCACGCGTTTACCTTATAAAAAGGGTCTTTTTTGGTTGAAAGAAAGAAGTGATCGAGAGCAATCAAGAGAAAATAGAATGGCCTACGAAGCCTAAAAGCTTTCCAAACAATATAAGCTTGTATACAAGTTTGTATAACTGCTAGTGGTGCAGGAAAGTCGACGTGAATAGTTAACCCGAATATGTTAGAAACTGAGGTTCTGTAAGCAGGATGAGAAGTTTCATGAATGAAATTGAATCGCTCTTCGATAACAGAAGAGAAGAAGAAGAAAAGACAGATAAGAAAGATGACGGAGAAAACAAGTTTAATGATTCCTTGCATGTTATTTGGGGTTCATTAACATAGGGATAGGCTGAGGAAGCAGAGAAGGATGTTTGAAAGATTGGTTATATTTGAAGGCCAATGCATCTGCGTAGGTAATTCCAAAGTTTTTGTAAGCTAATAAGAATCCAAATTCAATCATTTTAATATAAAAGAAATAATGACTTCTTCTTCTACTCCTCATCCTTTTGGTTTGGCTTTTGTACTAACTGTATGGATTTTGCTTTACCTTTGTCCATTCAGGGTTTGGAAAACGTGATAATCAAACTTTCATTAACCCCAAACTCTTAAATCCTTGAAAGTAAACAGTCAGTTTGCAGAAGAAAACCTTCCTCTTGTGTCATAGATTAAGTTTGTCAAAGCTTATTGAACCAAGCTAACTTGTTTCTATCATCCAAAGAACATGCCAAGGGGATTTCAGTGATCACCTTGAATCAATTTAGTTGAACCATAAACACAGATGAAATTGAAGATTCCTTCTGAAAATCTATCCAATCAGCAAAAGCTAAGAAATAGATGATTGAGTTTTGGGGTAGATTTATTTTAGTTTAAACATAAAATAACCAAGAAGTACTGTTACTAATAAATCTTCCTGTCATCTTGCCAAAAAGCAAAAAAATCCTTCATTACTGTTACCTCATGCGCGGTTTTTGCTAAGTATCTCTCTCTCTCTCTCTCTCTCTCTCTCTCTCTATATATATATATATATATATATATATATATAAAATGCAGGACTTGTGCATTTGATATTATGTAATTCATGCCATTACCCCTGTGAGCTGCACAGAATAGGGTATTCAATGAGGGAGCATGTTATTGCCTTTTCGGTATAATAAAGTTGTGCTCTTAATATAGAATTTTCATTTGTTAACAAGAATAATGAGTTTGCCTCTTGGAAAATTATGTTCAGTAGCCTTTATAACCACATGAGAACATTTCACCCCCATAAAGCATACTGTTAGGAGATATAAACGTTTGGCTGCTGAGGCTTATAAATTGAAAAGTTGTCTATGGTATCCTCCATATATCCTGGTTTCTCTTCCTAACCGACTAATGTTTACTTTTGCCCGAGTTTGGCTAAGGGAAATTCATGTATATAAATGCCTGCTAAAAGAACCAGATGAGTACAAAATAAACTAATTCCAGTTGATTATATAGCAAAAAATTGCACAAGTCAAAAGTTACTAGATCTTGATTTCCTCCATTGGTGAAAATGTATAAATTCAGTACTATTTATGCATTTATAAGCATGATTCCAAATAGAACGATAAAGAAAAGAAAATAAACAGTTCATTTTGAACTAAATAGAATGCTTCTTATGCATTTCTCTTTGATTTTCCTGTATACTTTGGTTCTTCTATCCAAAATGGAGTGGTAGATCAAAGGAAATCCTATAGAAAGCTATCTGACCTAACATTGTTAGGAAAATTTTCTCACTTCTTGAATATCAGTAATAAAAAACCACTGAGCAAATCTTAGACTTAAGTCATAATCACAGCTCCCACAGCCTAGCTTATCCAAAGTATTTCTCCAGTCCAATACTGAATAACATATTGAAGAACGATAGTCATTGTTGGAGCATAGACGATTGTTGATGCATATCGAAGAACCTGAGAAAACAGAACTCAAGATAAGTTTTGTTCTCTACCTTGTATATCATTAGAGGCCTACCTAGAAAGTAACCACATAACCAGAAAAAAACGTGCAGTGAAAGCAATGATATCTGCATCACTCTTTGCCTTTGGCATCAAGTGCCCGCATGGGGTTACCTTAAGCGGGTCGTTTATTGAAAGAAATAAGTGGTTGATAACAACCAATAGATAATAGTATGACCTAGGAAGCTTAAAAGCTTTCCAAGCAAGATAAGCTAGTATAACAGCTTCTAGTGAAGGAATAGAAATGTAAATGGATATCTCATAAGCAGAAAATGCTCTATAAGCAGCATAGGAAGATTCATGAATGGAAATGAGTCGATCTTGTCTAGAATATGAGAAGTAGAAGGAGAAGAGACATATGATGAAGATGAAGAAGATAACAAGTTTGGTGATTCTCTGCATTATGTTAGTTTCTTTTGTGGTTCAT